TTAAATATAAGAACATATTTTGCTTTGCAACCATTATAATATATCCGGAATTTTCGACCGAATTTCCTATATTTAAATTGTACTCCCAATCCTTAAAACAGTTTTCCAAAATACATTTAACACTCTTGGCTGCTCAATTTCAACTCACTATCATTACCTTCAAATGCAACTGACAATTTTTTTTCTAGTTTAAATATTTTAGCATTTAATATCTCAACAGATAAGTACGTCATTAACAACATGTTTTTCTAATAATCCTTTTCCTATATGTATAACTTTTGTAATAAGTTAGGTTGGTTTTTAAATATTTTGATTACTAACCCGTTCTTTAATCCTCATACATACTATTTTCATTATTGATGCAGAATTTAAAATTTTGGGAAAATAATGATAGCTTTAATAAAATAAAAATGATCCCTTCAAAAGAGTACCTTCAACTTTCAAGCTCAATTTATGACTTTAAAAATTAAATGTGTATCAACTAGTTACCAGTTACCTATTACGTATACAATAGGTACTTGGTGTGCTTGTTTCACCCAAAAATGTAATCACAGCAAAAAAGGCACGATAATTCACTAAAAATATTATGTTGTAAGTTTGACTCACAAACTGCTGACATTTAAGTAATAAAGATAATTTTTAAATACATTTTAGGAAAATGACTATTCAATTGTAACTATTTTAGTTTTGGTTGATATTTGATATTTAACAAGAGAACAATCAACAAACATGTAAAAGAATAGAAATACGAGAGAACCTACCTAGGTATATATTAAGCACTTGAAAGTAGAAACATGAGTAGGTTTATGAGTTTTCCAGTGTGGACGGAGATCCAATTACCGGTGAGCTTAAATGATTTATCTTTTAGCAAAAAAAATGTTTTCGTTAATATCAGATATTATAAACAATTTTAACTACTAATTGTGCAAGTACCTATATTATAATTATTTTTAAACGCCTACATCATATTTATTAAAATGTAGGTACGTTTACGTAGAAAGTGAAATTAAAGAATAAACTAGGTAGGTTACTTACTTACATTTAATTCACAGTTAAAACTTGCTTTGGAAGTTTACTGATAATGTGTCGACCTAACATTACCTGAATGGCTGCATATATTTTTGTATAACTCATCCATTACAACTCGATGTATCTACACTTATGATACAAAGTGGTAATATTGCAATAATTTATTGAACAAACGTAATCATCCGTATTCCGTAGTATACAACAATAAATTGTTTAATTTAAAATATTTATTTATTGGAAGTACATTTTTATGAATATTATTTAATAATATAAATAAAATTTATAAATTTTTAAGTATAAATATTAAATTAAATTACATTAAACTTGATGTATGAAGTAGTTGCCTGGTTACACCAGGTTATTTTAATGAATCAATAGTGAGATAATGGTCCCTTAAACCAGATTTAGTGGTCCAATAAAATGTAATCTATTTTTTATGCAATACGACAAGGATGTTGCATACTTGTATTATAGATCAATAATATGTTCTATGGCTGTATGAAGGACGCTGAAGGCATGAGCGACTGCAAGGGGGTGCCAGGGGGCCATTTTCCCCGCTATTTTAGTTAAATTAATTGTTTTATCATTTGTAAAAACAAAAAATAGTATGTACTTATTGTGTTACCAGTGATTTTTGACATTAGTCCCCCCCGGTTTATACTTCGACGCAGGTATGCTTTGCCTACATAGTACAGTGTAAAAATAATTATTTATAAATTATAATATTATATTATATCTTTTTAGTTTGAATTACCTACGACACTGAATGAAGCCTATACAGTAATTTTAGTGCCGTACAATTTTTGTTTGTATTCTGTAGATTGAAAATCGAGCTTCCTAATTTTGACTATACATCTTATTTTTTATATATGTATATACGCCTATACTCCTGAGGTTATTAAGGTTTCTGAAATACATTACATTTTAAAGTTTTATACTAAATATTTTAAGTATGATACTTACATGAAAGGCTTATGTTGATTTAATTACAATATGATAAATCTATGTGTAAGTACCTACTTATGTTATATTTTCTGGATCAGGTTCGTCTCTTTGAGTTGGGCTATGTGCCTCTGTAGGACCTACATTGTAGGTACCTATCTATTTGTTGTAATTTAAATAAAATTGTACAAATCATCAATTATCTAACGGAAAATTGGGTTCTGATCCATTGTATCTACTTGTGTAGGTATTAAATAGGTAATGAATTGCTGCCGACTGTGAAGGAGTGGCTATATAGCCTACAACTTGAGCTATTAACCACAGCGGTCCACTGACCAATCAATTGGCCCAAAAAATGTTGCAGATGTACCAAACGAACTTACTGCCGCACTCCTATGAATTACAAATTTTTGATTTGTAAATATTTAGATAAATATTATATGTGGCCAACATAGGTAACTTATTAATAGCATAGATCTTATACAACTAGACAAGAACTTTGGGCCGTGTAACAATATTTCGGAGTGATGTAGGCGCCTTTACAAAAAAATACAATACTTTATATATATATATATATATATATATTATATTACCCTGCTACCTCGCACCACTGTGCGTAGGGGTAATCAAGTAACCAAAAAGCGCCCTCAATGTTGTTACGCTTTTCATACACTCATGACTCATTGCTTGTCTAGTAGTAGGTGTGAGATCTATGCGACTATGCTTGATAGTTTATTTGAAACTCAGTCAACATAACGCCGTAACCGTGCACACCACATAATATATAAAATGTGGTTCACACTTAAATACTTAATGATATTGAATACCTACTATACGTTTTTTTTACAAGCCAATAAGATAAGAAAACAGAAATGTAATTAGGTAGGTATAGGTAGTTAAACTGTAAGATAATATTTTAGACTTTTAAACTTTTTTAATAACCTTCATACAAATTATACATATTTTTTTTTTGTTAATTAACCCGTGGCAAGCCAGCAACACAATAGGGCATTAAGTGGATTTTGGCAAGGTGACTTGTGTATCATATGTGATAGGTACACATAATTTCCATTATTGCGCTTAATACTCGTATTTCACTTATACTTGTCAATTTCTTCTCGAGTTTATTTGTTTGAGTATCATCACTATCATCTGTGATACTCAAATTTTTTTCGAGATTATTGATTTATTTATATCTAGGGAATATCCTATATTCCCATGCCGGAAACACTAAAAAAATCATACATTATGATACTCAGCCCATGTTCATCAAACTACTGATTACACATGTGATACTCAAGGCGTTCGTTGCAAGTTTAGTGAAAGTAGTCAACTTGGTAAATGTGGGGAAGGTTATGGTTGGTTTGAAACACGTGTATGCATGGAAAGGATTTGTCACTAAGATTCCGGAAGGTTACACATCTGGAAAAGTTGGTGTTGGTAGTCAGAGCATATATTTTGTGACTGACGCCACTAGCTACCAAATTTTAATTTCAATACGTACCTAGATACACCTAATGTTACAGGTAGTAGGTACCTACCCATATATTCACATAACAATCAATACTGAATCCTTTTATAAATTTACCTTAAAATTAGAGAGAGGGGGAGGGTACGACCAATTTATTTTCAATATACTTACTCGTTACACGGTAAACTCATATTTATTTATGTTTGTATGTACATTTTTTCTACTTCTTAAATAATATCTACCTATCTATCCAGATAAAAGTTTTGAATAAAGTTTCCAAAAATGAAGAATAGTTTAACAAAATTAAGCTAAAACTGTTAGTAAGCCTAGTCAATAAGTATTTCAATTTCTAAAAATTGATCATTACACACAGCTAATTCTGAAAAACAATAAATTAAATAGTTTTTAATTAAACATCATAATATTTATTCACAATAAGTAGGTAATAATAAAATGTAGAGTATCACAATACCTAATAATTGATCTGCGTTTTTCATTGGAAAATTATTTGTTGCCTATGTTTCAATAGTTAACTATAATATTATGAACTTAAATTATATCAAGGCTTATAAATAATATTACATGCATACCAACTATTATCAATTGGCTTTACACACATGTAACCAACAGGCAACAGTTAATAGTTACTGTACTGTCGGTAGTCTGCACTCTGAAGGTACTTATTCCACTATAGACTTCAACAACATGATACAGTTGGCTGCACGATTGTAAATAGAATAGTTCTATCTATAATCGGTGGGTATCTTTTACTACTACATCGCATTTTAATTTCAGATATTATTATTGTTGGTATATACCATTTAATAATTATTTGTATGAAACATTTAAGCTCATAGTTTAAGTATTTCCGGTTATACCATGCAAAAACATAAACATTATTAATATTAAAAATATTAACTAGGTTAAGTAAACATGTATGTAATGTATAACAATATTCAGAATTAAGTCTTAGGCAGTAAGATTTAGCAGATATAGCAAAATAGACACTAGGTTAAGCCATAATACCTATATAAGTGATAGGACTAGACAAATGTAGGGTTAGTGGTGGTGATAGTCTGACTCAATTACCAACAAATACCAGTGATTATTAAAGGTATTTATAATATTATTTGTTTGTTCATTGTGCACGTCCGAAGTAATTGGCGTATGTGACACAACCTACACATGTAAATATATTAATTTTGACCAAATAGTCAAAACAATAATAAAATATCAATGATACAATTATTTGATACAATAACAACTGTCAATGATTTTTCACTGTCATCTTCTGAATTTTGTGAAAAATATGAATGTGCTGAAAACAGACAATACCATAGTATAGTTAAAACACGGTTTGATAACTACAAAGAAGATTGTACAGATTGTATGGATTGTTAACCTGCAGTTGTCCTTAGTGGCTATTTTAAAAATGTATTCAGTCGTCAGCCATGATACATTAAAATATTAGTATAAAGCCTATTATAGTAGTAATACAGGAGTAACAGAACATTTTTGATAACTGAATAAAATAATATAAATAATTATCAAGACAAAAACTAGTACAATATAGATTATATTTTTCAAAATAATGTCTTGAATAACATTCTAATAATATTCTATTTGTCTATCACTCATAAATCAATCACAGATAGTAAAATTGTAGGAAAAAAAAAATAAACAATATACTTAAATATAAAAACATCCTTAAGTGCCACAAAAATAAAGTTAAAATCTAATGGAAAATAATAATAATAATGAAACCCATTTCCTTATCTTGTGAATAGTTCATTAGTAGAATATAAAAATAATATATTAATATGTATATTCTATTATTTATCATAGTAATTATACTACTTAATTTCAAAATAACATAATCATCAAATGAGTCTAATATTGTAACAAATCAATCATATTCAGAGGCATCTGAAACATATAAGATTTGTTGTATGTTTCAATTGCCAATTTAGTTTGGTCGTCATCTTCATCAATGAGATTTATCACTTTTATATTTTCGGTACATTTGGCCACTCTATCTAGATAACAAATAGGATTTATAGGCAAATCATAATTTATTATCCAAGCAGCTTGCTGAAATTGGCTGCCTTTGATTGGATCTGTGGTGATGAGCATTTTAATATTGTTTGAAGAAAACATATTAAGTTTTTGCTCGCGTTCATGTGCATTCATTTCCAAATGAAAAAGTGATACTGCATATTCCAATCTTTGTAATGACTCACAGAGTTTTTGAGCTCTATCCAAAGTGTTGCAGAAGATGATGGATTTCTGTATTTTCAATGTTTCATTGATATCGCAAAGTGCATTAATTTTCCAATCCTTTTGAATGTTTAAATAAAACTGTTTTGGAAGATCTAAGATTATAACAAAACAAATTGAAAAGTATTAATGACACATATCATTAAGAAATAATATATGAACACAACATTTTAAATTTATAAATATTAATAGAAAATTATTTATGGTGACATACTTTTTAGTAGATCGTTTTCTTTTTCTTGGTCATTAATAATCACCAATGGATCACGTAAGGATTCCATGTAAATGTCTAATACATGATCAAGTTTGTCTGATGTCAGTAAAGTGACTTGTCTGGTTTTTGTTAGTTTTCTCATTATTTCTTCAATTAGTATGGTATAATTATTAGTCAACATCTTTTCAGCTTTGTTGATCACCACTGTTTGAATGCTTCCAGTACGTAGAGATTTGCATGAAATCATATTGGACACTCCAGCTGGGGTACCGACAACTATATGTGGGACAACTGATAGTTTTCTTGGAACATTGTCACCACCGATACACACATTAACACCCAAAAAGTCACCAACACTCATGATGATCTAGATTAAGAAAAAAAAAATCAACATTTACATTGAAATAATAACAAGTAAAATTATACTATACTTGGTATTCTCAACTTTTCTGTAATTATTATTAACTACCTAAATTATAATTTTATAAATGTATGAAATCCTTTTTAATTTGTATTCAATTAATGATAGCAAGAGGTTGGTTAGGCCAATAACAATTAATAACTATATATTATTTGATGGAGAGACGTGACAGTTAACGAAATTACCGATGTGCTATTGGCGCTATCGCAGTTGATAAGCAATACCTAGAGATTAATTTTTATTAAAACTCAGAAATAAATCATTTAGTGAATATGTAAAAACGACCTGTTTAAGTTTAGAGCTCAAAAGTTGTTGCATTGGCATGTTTTTTTTGGGGTTATTAGATTTATTGCTCAGTAAGCTTGAAATTAATTTCACAACACTACAAAAGAAAATACTGAAAGTTTAAAGTACATATTTTTACATATTTCTTAAAGAATATTTGATAATTAAAGACAAGTTAACAATATAATTTGAAAATTTGGCAAAAAAAAAAAAAATATTATATTTTGAGTTTTTACTAGATGTGTTTTTGTACAGTGTTTTTAAATCCCTAATTGACATACAATTTTCTGTTTTTATTAATAAATTACAAAATATAAAATATAAATATATTTTTTAGTAAAATATTTGTATTTATGATAATTGCAAGTAAAATAAAAAAGTGGGTAACGCTTAGCTATACGCCTGTACATTTGGTGTCTATTAAGGTACTTATAAATAGGCAATGCTACCTATTTATGTTTAAACTTATAGTTTAAGTATATCTATACATTACTAAATGTATATTATGTTAAAATATTATCCAGCTATATGAATTTATTTATTATCTCTTTCTTTAAATTATATTTTCATTTCTAATATAATTTGAAGTTGGGTAGTTTTTATATGATGGATATAATTATATAATTATTAAATCATGTAAATATAAACAATTATACTCATTTAATATTTTTGTCTAAGTAAATAATATCTAGTAGGTATCTGTTAATAAATATATAAAAATATTTTGTTATTTTTTATTACATAATAAATATACCTATAACAGTAATACTCTATTACAAACGCTCATAATATCTCTTTGAAAAACAACTAAATAATACTAATTCATTATTTTTAGGTATTAGTTATCATTTATTAATTAATACTTATTAGATATGTAACTACTGTTCTTAAAAATACAATATAGGTACTATATGGAAGTACTGTATAAAGTATAAGCACTATAGTTTTGGTTTGGAAAAAAATAAAGTATGCTAGAGTTGTATAAAAAAAAATAACTTTTTTTTATTTTTATAAAAAGGTTAAAAAAGATTGGAATTAATTTTTAACTTAACTGAGTTTAAAAAAATCATTAACTTGCCCAGCCTTGTATTTATAAGTAAAGAAACTATAATAACAGCTCAAAACAACTAAAAATATTTTGAAAATGTTATAAAGTATAGGAAATTATAAAATAAACATTTGGTGTAAATTTCATTAATCACCATTCTTCATTTTTATCTAATGTGAAAATTTGGACTTCTAACACACATAAAATGTAATTTGATTTTCCAGCAGACACTTTTCTTTTGATAAACATAGACAAACTATGGGGTACCTTGTAATTTTTACGTATTTTGTCAAAATATGAAATGCAGACTGCATATTTTGGTGCTGATTCGGTATGCGCTCTACTAACAAGTTTCTGTTTCGGTATGCGCTCTACCAACAAGTTTCTGTTTCGGTATGCGCTCTACTAACAAGTTTCTGTTTCGGTATGCGCTCTACTGAAAAGTGTCTGAGTCGGTATATTTATATTTTAATAATGATTCTTTATAGACAAGTGTCTGAGTCTACAGTCGTCATACGTCTTTTGACTGAGATTTATTTTATATTCATTCAAAAAAAATTTTGTTTTATAACAAGGATCGTTGTCTTCGGCACATTTCAACAATCCTTTTGCTACTAAAAACCGATGAAACTCAATCTCATTTAGAACTACTGTAGTATAGTAGTATAAAACTCACGAACATCATCACAGCCATTACAATTTATAAATAATACACGAAATACTGAAAATATTTTTAAAAAATATATATTATATTCGTAACGAGCAACCTTTGTGAGCGTTGTGTGACGACTGTAATAAAAGTAAAACCAATAGTAATACAATTTAAGGTACCTAAAGATAATTAGAGATTATCATTATTATTAACAGTTGAAATACCCAACGTATAATATAAAACCGAGGCATGTAACGCATATTATACAGTAATTGTAGTCCAATATCCGCGTACCGAAAATAGACTAGGTGTAGAACACAAAAACCGGTAGAGTGCACACCGAATTAGCACCCATATTTCAACTACTTATTGTGTACACAGACACAAAATATAATAATAATAAAAAAAAACACATCATTGTAAAATCAATACATTCATCATCTGCTCAGAATTTAAAATAAGTACATATTTGTACTTCTTTAAGCACATGAGTGGATGCATATTTAGTACTTTTTAAGTACATTAAGGTCTGAGCCCTATATAACTAATGGTATTTTATTTTAATTAATTAGATTTTGCTATTTTAATTTAAATTTTAAATAAAGTTACTGAAAAAACACAAAAATAGCAATGAAAATCCATACTTTAGTCATAGCATACCTTTTGAATATGTACGGCAAGGTCTCGAGTTGGTACTAACACTAATGCTTGACACTCGTTTAAATTGGTTTTTATACGTTGAAGTAATGGTATGGTAAACATTATTGTTCTACCAGTACCTGGTCCAGCAAATACTATTATGTCTCGCCCATTTATGCAGTGCACAACAACACGTCGTTGTAAAGCGGTTGGATTGACAAAACCAAGAGAGTATATTCCACGCAAAATATCAATGTTTAACTTCATATCATTAAAGCTATTAATGCTGCATTCAGAATTACTAGCATTGGGCGGAATTTCATCATGTTTATCTGATTCTGTTTGCTCGGGTGATACATTAGTGTTACCTATAGTCTGTGAAAAAAAAAATGTTTAAATAAAAAAAAAAATTTAAAAATAGACTTTCATACTTGTGAATTGTTTTGAAATACATTTGCATAGTCATTTATGAATTTATTCACTTCTTTTTCAATTGTCTTCAATTCAATTTTCTTGTAGCGTTTATTATTCTCTTTAGATTGATTTGAATTAATATTTTCATTTTTCAAAGACTGTTTCACGTCTTTTTCATCCTGTTATATTTGATAACAAAATTAAAATTATACTGACAAAAAGTAATATTTTTCTACCATTTGTTTGATTATTTTATTTACAAAAAGAAGTTCTGCTTTACTCGTAAATTGACTTAATTAAGGATATGTAATAGGTAAATTATGTTATAGCTTAAAAGGACACATGACATATGCAGTCTCCGTCTTAAAAAGCAAGTTATAAGTCTTTTAATATTCATAACTTGCTATTCAAAACCTGAGGTTCACTAGATAATATTCTTATTTCTAAATTTGATAATAGGTCAATTAGCTCTAATATTAATCATAACATAGTTAAATATTCAAAACGTATAATTTTCCATGTTATGCGTTTGTAAGAAGGAGACTGCGCATGTGAGTGTAGCGTCCTCTTTATTAGATAAATATTTCATTTCATTATTTCACTAATTATTGATAAATAAATATAAAATTCTTAATAATATGGACTTACTTGAATATAATCAATTCCTTGTTGCAATAACAAATGTGGTATTTTTAGTAATAAATCACCAATACTAACATTGGAATCTGAACATGAACTCTCTTTGTTTAGAGTTGGTTGAGATCTCGGTTGAGATGTACTAGCCTCATGAAGTTCACTACTCTCATTTTCATATGTTACAGAGGCAGAATCAACTGAATTGTTCAAACACATTTCTACATCTTTCTATTAAAATAAAAATGATAAATTGATAAATATTATGTTAAAAAAAAAATGCATTACAATAACATTTTTTTAAATAGTGATGAGCAAAAAAAAGCTTTACTTGTATAGGTGTATGGGTTTTAGTCGTTTTAGATATTACAATGCCTCCAGCATCAAAATAATGAGTAGTATTTTCTTTTAATTGTGTGTCCGGTATTTTATTTTCAATAGCAATAGTAATATTAGTAGGTTTTTCATCAACACTTTGACTTTTCAAATCATTCTGAAAAAATACAATATTAAAACTCGAATTTTAAAACTGTTAATAAAATATATAACTATACTGACTTCTTCTGTAGGGAAATTTAATATTTCTTGATCAGTAACTACATCATATTGATCCAATAGTTGTATACATTCATCAAGACTGCCATCATTTGCAGTTGATACTGAATTCGATTTAGATGGTATTGGTGTTTGGAATGTGTCAAAAACATTTTTTAATTCAGGGTTCAAAACCAAATTAGTTTTGTCTGAATCAGTAGAAATGTTTTGTGCATTTTCAGAAATAAAATTTTTTAATACAGCCGGTTTTACTTTTTGAAAATCAATAGATGAACTATTTTCCAATTCCGTGTTAAATTTAGGATGATAATAAGTAAAAGATTCTAAACCAGTACAAAATTCTGGCTCAATATTAGTTGATTGAATTTTATTCTCAACATCTGACTTGGTTTTCAATATAGTATTCAAATGCTTTAGTGGCTCAATCTCAGCATGCGCTTCCAAAACAGTATCTATCTCTGACCCAATGTTATTCGATTGAATTTTATACTCATCACCTAATTTAGTTTTCAAAATAGACTTCAAATACTTTAGAGGTTCAATCTCAGCACGCAATCTTCCAATTACATTTTCTAATGATACTATCATCTCTTTTTTTTTTTCCAGATTAGATATTTTAGCTTTTAATTCTTCCAAAGATAAACACTCATTAAGTACAAATACATGCTTTTCTAATAATTCTTTTTCGGCGCGTAAGGATTTTAATTGCTGTAATAAATCATTCTGATTTTTCAATTCTGACTCCATCATATACACTGTTTAAATTGAATTGTTAATACCAACAATATTCAAAATTCCTAGAATTAATAGTAAAATCAGAGATTATTAAAATAAAATGTGTTTCTTTAAGAGGATGCCACATCTGCATGCTTATCTGTCTTACAAACATACAATATGGTAAATTTAAAGTTTACAATAATCCATATTAGTGTCTGTTATTATAAAAATTAGTGTGTATTGGCCCATGATAAAATTTAAAGTTAAGATTATTATCTAAGGCATCGTAGAGGCTTTTATTGATATTTTATTCATTAAGAAGCAAGCTATGAGAAATTTTAATCTATACATATTTGAGGCGTCCATTTAAATCTGCATAATATATGACATACTCAGTTGCATACATCACAGTGAAAGCAGGTCCCAAGAAAAACAAATCTATTATATTTATTAATATTGATTATGATTTATAATTATATAAAAATGATTTATTTATTATAACGCATAAACTAAAAACAAATTGTAGGATCTAAAATAAGAAAAAAATATTACTCCACTGTTACTAAAGACATTTTTTTTTTACTATACATAGGTACTTGTCATAAGAATTTATAACTTAATATTTTACTAGATTTTTCTTTGCTTTTGTTTAAAATAAAAATAATAAGATACAATTCTAGATTTCATAAAATCGGTGATTTAAATACTAATTTTGACTACCTACTTCCTTATTTAGTGGATTTCAATAATATTTAAGTTGAGGTGAATTAATACTAAATAGACAATATTTACGCATTATGATTTATGACACCATAGGTACCTAGACGTTAATATGGATTTTAGAAGAAAATCTGCTTTTTTTCTTAACAAAATCAAAGACCAGACAACACATACTTACTGAAATGTTTTATTATTTGCTCGTAATGTACACTCCAAGTTCGAAATTTTCTGGGACAGCACAGAATACAGATTAGAACGAAACTAAGAAACAACCTTCAACTCAGTCGTACTGCGAGTTGCGACACAATTGATACGAATCGTTTTAATGTACTATATAATATGTTAAAATGTTTTGTTATCTTTATTCATTTGAGCATAATTATAGAATGTGGAGATGGTGTTGAGGTATGACTCACCAACTTGTCTTTCAACCATACAACCGGTTGGGTTGTTTTTGTTTTTCGCAAATACGGAACACCGTATAACGAGAATGACTAATCGGCATTCGGCAATCGCTAAGATGTTAAATAATAATAATAATATTATTATTTATTATTCCGATAATCCGATCGTCGTTGCTGATATTACTCGCAGGGTGACCACGTCTCATAACTGAATCCACCGTATGGAGTTTTAGGCCACCGGTGGCGTGTTTTTAATTTTCAATTGTCATATTATTGTTATTTAAAATATGTAATTGTAATTCGTTAGATGTTTCCGGTTCCGTCTGTAATATTTTATGCCTAGGTACCACAGAATAGATAAAGGTACATTTTATATAGTTTCGACGAGTGACGTCACAACTATAATGATAATAATAGAGATCAGAGTTTCCCGGGATGGCGGGATGGCAGGTGTAATGCATTAAAAATATTATATTTCAATTGCGATTGTCAATAATTGATGATATCATAATTTAATTATTTTTTTTTGGGGGAGGGGGACTTCGTTATCCTTATTTGATAATTGACTTAAAACTAATATTTGGGATTTACAAGTAAAATGCATTTGTCGTTTATTTCGATGTTGTTTTTTTCCATGTAGTTTTTTTCCTAGATTCTAAAAAAATACCTATATGGAAGTGTAGTATGTGTAAAAACTAAAATTGTGTATACAATTAAAACAGACATTACACAAACAGTATTCAAAAGAAGGTTTCGTTTAGTTATTTCAAAATTAATTACCTGCAATGCCATGCATGGGCAGATAGGTACTTTTTTACCGGGATATAATTATTAGGGCCACATATACCTAGCGCCCATGTATTGCATACAAAAAAATTTAATTTCTTTTAAGTTTTATCGTTGGTACATTTACTTAACAAATCTGGATCCATTCTTTTTCTTTTTGAAGGCCCACTTTTGTAATTTCGTTTACACATAATTAATAGTTGCCATATAATATATATTATTTAATAAATTAAAAGTGTTTAATCAATTAGCAAACAGCCACTATCACAAATCACAATAGCCAATAGGAAAAGTAAAATAAAAATAATAACACCTGATAAAATTTAAAATAATAGGTACCACAGATTATATTAAATATAATCCGTGATAATACCATATGGCATATTGCGTAGAGTAAACAATAAGAATAGGTAAATGATATTATTGTACTTGCTTACTTCGTAATTTATACTGTTTATTAATGTTATTATTGTTGATGTAAGAGATATTTATGATATTTTAGACATTTATATTAATACGCATTGTTTAAAAATAGAAAAAATCGAATGTATTACGATACAAAGATTATATAAACGTAGATAGTAGATACGTCGTCATACTTAGCTCTGACTAATCGAAAAATTAATTATTATTATATTTATTTATACATACATTGTATACAATATTATTTAATTTTAGCACAGTTGTACATACAACAAAATACATATTATATATTTATACGGGTATCGACGAGTTTATACTGAGGCCCCTAGGCCCTAGGCTCTAATGGAGTATACGAATATCACAAATACGCATTAATATTTAATACTGTACAGCCGCCAGGGCACCAGCCAGTATTATAAAAATTTACTTTTATATAATTATTTTTTTAAAAATTTTTTTGGGATTGGGGAGTATAATATTGATGGGGCTCTACCGAGAAAATCCCGATTTCCCGATGGGCCTAACCGCACATGAATTGCCATATTTATAAAAAAAAATAGGTAAATGGTGTACCTATCTAAAATAAATGTTAGTTACTTTATAGTAATTATGTGTGATTAAACTGTGAATAGATGAAGTCACATAGGTAAGCACTTTATACTTATCTAGTGGGTACCTTAGTAATCTTAATTACGTTTAGTCACTCTATTTATCATTTTAAATGAAATTATATTGTGTTTAAGGTGCCTATTTATTAATATTATCACTTTATAGATGCGATCTGGCCTAAATCAGGTTACAAAGTCCAAAGACAGTCGACACGAGTCTAAATATGTGACTGAAACTAAAACATATTCGATTTTTATATGAGTCATAAAGACATAAAGTCATAACATTACACCACCAACCTCGATTAGGACTCTAAATTAACTACAGTCTATAGTCTATTGTCTATACTACGTGTCTATGTGTATTGTGTATGATAATGATATTACTTATATATTGGTAATTTTTGTAATTCATAAATATTAAACTATATTAGTCACTATAGGTCTGCAGATCGCAGTGCACTTTCTGTGGTATAATTTATAATATTATCATCGAAAAAGTAAATAAGTAGTTACATAGGTGCCAAGATTTAAAAAAATAATTGGGTCTAGATGTTCTCGCAAAAAGCTCCTCCACCCCCATTACAAAAAAGTCAAAAAGTGTATAAAATCTTTAATCACCCATTCTTAATAATAGTAATATGGGCATTGACATTTACATTAACGTCATACCACTGACCATGACAGTTTGTCATTGGAAGTTCAAATTGAATTAGAACATCAGAATTCAAGGTAAACGGTCGGAGAATAGTTGAGAATATTCAAATACATCTAAATTAGCATCGAATTTACGAAAACATACTGATACTTGCTTTTTACATGAATTATTGTATTATGTTGTTTTATTCATAATTCATATTTGATGGTATTATTGTGATTAAAGTATTTTATTTTACTATTAGTCATCAGTAATAAAGTAGGTTAAATTAATTTTGGCCAAAAAAATTATTAGATTTGAGTATGTCATTATGTTTATAAATTATAGTTATATACCTACTCTAAAAGTTTCATATACCCACAAATAATATTTTTAAATTACAACAAAATAACTAAAATCATTATTCTTGGAGTAATATATTGTAATTTTGTCTGAACTTCAAATGTTTGTAAAAAATAACTATGCTATACATTTTTAGTTACAGTATGAAATATTTATGAGAATCGTTGTTTTAAATTTTAAATCTTTGGCTATACAAATTGAACATTTTATAATTTTTAACTACAAAATAATTTTAATAAAGATTTTGATCATTATGTTAAAATTTAAACTTCAAATACTTATAAAAAAATCTTCCTGGATCTTAAATATTTCTCAACTGCTATTATAACTATTTATGAGAAATCTTGTATTACATTTTCAAGTTTCTTGACACAACGAATATAATTTTATTGACATTTATGGAATAAAAAACTTGAAAAATGAAAATGTCTATTAATAACTTAAAAAGAATCAAAATATTTTGAACATTTTATAATGTATAGGAAATGATATAATAAACATTTGATGAAAATTTAAAATACCTACGAATAGTAGATTTGATAAACAACAAAATAGAAAATCGTTGTATGAGAATTCGTTAATTTGCTGGTGAATATCTTATATCTTACATCAAACTCTTGTAAAAAATTAATTTGACTTCTCGGTAAACTTTTTTTGTTGTTAAATGTAGGAAAACTTAAGAGGAATCTTGTATTAAATTTGTTAAGCTTGAGGGTAGATCGGGCAGATCAGGTGTAACTCGTGTAAGCATGTATCTAGTTGAATTTTCGTACACTGGGTAGCTAAGTTGGCGCAACTGTGAGCTAAAGTGCTTAGCCGCTCATCGACGCTCATCGACGCTCATCATCGACCAAAATAAAAATAAAACATATTATTTATAAAGATTAAGGATTAAACGATAATAGACTGCTGGCATTATCACAAGCGAGTCTCATACAGAGTTAGCATTTTTAAGGAGCAACGAAGTGCACGGAACCAGCTTGTATTTAATAATAACATAATAAAAAATGCTCAGTAATAGATCTACCAATCCTCAACCGTGGCTTTGCCGGCTTAGTCTCATTTCTACTACAGCATATCATGTTCCATATTTTATTTTTTAATATTTTATAGGTTTGGTAATAATTAACGTTGTATTATCCTACTTGTTATTTAAAATCTCGAGTTTTGTTTCATAACACAAATATTTTTATTTCATTTTATATTTTATTTAATTCTTACCTTGTTATTAATCTTTTATACAATAAATATTTTGTGTAGGTATCTAGTAAAATCATTAAATGACTCACTACATTTTTGATAAAGGTAAGACAAATTAATTTATTTTACAATATTTTTTTAATATTTCATTTTTATAATTCATTAGATAAAAATGAGTAATAAATAAAATAATACATACTTGACTCAATTACTGATTTTCATTTTTTAATATTCAAACCCTTATTTTGTACTCATTACAAATTAATAATTATAAAACTTAAAGTTATTGCTATAGCTCGAGTTCAACAGTTTTAAGTGAAATGGATTTTTTTTTTAGTCTAAGAGTCCTATTTATTTTTCCATTTCAAGCACTGGGTATGGCATAAATCTATACGGATGATACTGATCTATATCTGTATTTTATGGTAGACAAAAATGCACACAGTGCACAATGCACAAATGTGCCACTGAAATTAGCACTCACACACACGCACGATATTCAACGTGCAAGATTAATGTCCTTTCGCTATACCCGGCGGGCCAATGTCAACGACGTAGTATTTACTCATCCAGTTCTCCACCCTCTTCCTAGAGTCATGCACGGCTCCAGGTGACATTTTGGACTTGCCAAAATCCAGGTTTTTGTTTGCGGCGCAATAGGGCTGTGCCACCGTGAACTCCTCGGTGTCTTGTCCGTAAAGCGCACCTTCCAGGCATTTTCTGAGCAGCTGAGCTGATGACGATGGACTTCCACTCTGGTCCGATTGCACATCCGTTTCATCGCCAAGGATAAGCAGTTTTCGGTTCTTCGTCGTCATCCCAGAGGCGAAACGACTGACGCCAAGTGGCGGGTACACCACGACCGCGTCTCCGAGTGCTTCGTCCCAGTGCTCATACTGATCGGAAGTGGCGAGTGACAAGTTCGTTTCCATTGCCGACACCGCCGCCTCGTAAGATGATGAAAATCCCGATGCCTCGCAATCTCTCGGCTCGGGTTCGTTGTGTTCTGCCAAGATCCGTTTCACGTCCTCGTCGTAGCTGCAGTCATCGTCGTCACCCGACGAAGAACACGAAAATGCTCCTTTACTGTATATTGGCACATACTTAAGGCACTCGCGCACGTAGTCTGGATAATCTACTGTATCACTGACTGTAGATCCCGAAGACGACATGGTGACGTGACGACCAACACACAACGTTAATACCCGTCGTCAGGACACCAACGTAAAGTGGGGCTAATAGTCTTTCAACGTGATGTCCGTATCCATGGTGACAAGTGACAACCATGACGATAACTATGGTGTGCGGTGCGTGTAATGATTTATTATATTGACACCAAGTTATGTTCGATCAGATGACTTGAAAAGCTAGATCCAAAATTATAATTTTGAGGACCCAGTGCAAAAATATTTAAAGTACCTCATCATTCCGAAGCCATTGGTGCGAGCAGTGCATGGCTGAAACTCCTCAAGTGAGAACCTAATATTAAATATCAATTGTTAATTTTACAGTGAATTAAAAAATTTTTTCAAGGTTCAAGCCCCTCCGATTTTATATTTCTGCCTATATATATAGTTGATAGAATTTTAAATGAGTAGATATTAGATAAAAATATTAATGAAACTTTCAAGCATATTTTAATAGAAAGTGACAAAATTAATGTAAGTTTTTATAACTTTTAGTAACTTAATCGACTTTTTTTTATTTTAAGTTTAAAAAAAATGATTTTATAAATTATTAAAAACCAACATACCCACAACCTACGAGTACATAATATTCCTAACATTTAATAATGTTACATTTTGCAGGAATTATTGGAAACTATATTTTATTTTTGAAGAATACTAATTTTCTCAAAATTCGTTATTAAATATTTCTGCGTGAAATAATAACTTTAAGTAATGCCTATTAAGTCCATAAATTCTATATCTTGCCTACTAAGTTACCTTTTTTTCCTGTTCAACCGACAGAAGAGGAAGCTTTGTGTAAACAATGTTATTTCTCTGTTGCCATCGTTTATTGATTTATACAAGTTTAGCTAAAATAGTAAAAGCGTAATGCACGCAATACTTATACATAAATACATAGTATACATAACACAAGGTAAGTTTATAAAATATACACAGTTAGTATGATACTTAGATACCTACTTTAATTTTGTATATGAAATTTATTGAAATTTAGCATTCAATATAAATTGTTCACCATCCCGAATTTCAGTTGCAGTGCAATATTAAAACATTTGAACACATTAGTTTTCAAGTTTGAGAGAGCTAAAATAATTCATGAGACAAAGACCCTTAGAGGATTTTAACCCATTCAAAAATAATGAATTCCAACTTCATTAAAAAAATATATTTTGATGAATTAAAATAAAACAGATAAATAACAACAATTGTATTGTAAATCAATAAAAAGTTGACAGCAATGATTATCATGATCATTAATCAAACAAGCTATAAGTTTTCTTTTTTAAAACGTGAATTTGCTTACACAGTTTAAACTTAAAAATCCCACAAACACGCTGTACGCACAATGGCGCTAAAATTAAATTGTCTTAGTGGTGTCGCCGTGGCAGTGTTTGTAGAGTATAAACCTATAAAAGAGATTAAAATATTAAAAATATATCAAAACAAGTTCTTAAATGAAATGTAAAATTTAAACCACAATATTTACACGAAATTTGTGAAATTAATTACTCAGGGAAACTAACTTAAAGTGGTTGCTATAAATTCCCTAGTGCTATGTAGGTACTTGATCAGTAAACAGCTGTCAACTAATTATGATAATATATTGTATATTATAATTTTATAATATTTTGTGATGTCGTCCACTACTTTATTTTTGAAATACATCACTAAACGGTATATCATATTTAAATTAAATAATTATTGTTGTGTTCTGTCAACAAAAAACTTTAACTCTCTCACAGACTAATTTCAATAACACATTACATATTGCCAAGGCTGGGCAAGTTAATTATATTTTTTAACTCAGTTAAGTTAAGTTAAATTTAAATTTAAATCAAGTTAATAGTTAAAAGTTAATTCAAAATGTTCTATCAATTAAACTAAGTTAAGAATTAACCAAAATGTAATATTAACTTTTTAACTCAAGTTAAGTTAAAAAAAGTTTTTTTGTTTTCATATAGGAAAAATTAAAATATTCGTACCTAAAATTGTTCATGTTATTACACCAAAGAACTATTATTATTTTATGTGTTCAAAAAGCTAACAGTACTATACGGAAAATGTAGACTGATACCAGATTGTACAAACTCGAAAATGGTCGCGTTAGTTTAACCTAACCGCGTCTTTATATTTTAGTCGAAGTCGAAGTATAGGCTAGTACAATACTGAGTAGCGTATTTATTTTTATACCCATACAGTGATTACTGAATACTGAAGACTTATTAGTAGTTATTACTTATTACTAATACACGATAATTAGCTGTAGGCCTGTATGGGTAGTTAGATTATCAATAAGACAAGAACACGAACCGCGATTAAAGATATTTTTCATTTTTTCATCGTGACACGGACTAATATAATATTATAATAAAACCTGGAAATGACAGTATTAGTAGTTGTAACAGATATGTAATAATATGTATCGATATCGAATATAGAAACATGGTTTTACCACCACTAGTCACTAGGCGTCCATGCGGGAATTCTAGAACTAACTTTTCTGAAATGTTGAACAATTATTCCTGATAATAACCTAAAAGGTTAGGTTGTTAGTCTTTGATATGCCTAATACCACCCTCTCTGAATAAGTTTTCAAGTAGAAAAAAAAACAATATTATTGTTGATTTACCTTGGCAAGACATCTAAATAAATTATTTTGTTATATAATTAAGTATATTTTGATTTACATGTCATATTTTTTATAATTTTGCAAATTTTTTTTGAAACTCAGTTAAGTTGAAAGTTAAATGGAAACTTACTGTTCGAACGCGGCTGATTTTCCCGCCGAATCAGCACATCGCCCAAAGGCTTTACAAGTCTCCGCGATCGGTGTGGAGTGTCCGCGACAGATCATCCCCCCTCTACACATCCGTGGCCGACGATGTCCACTCCAACCTTCGTCCGTCCGCTTGCGAAGTTTTGTCTTTTGCCAACGGCCGAACCTGGTGGGTCCAGTTCGCTCGCCTGTTCGCCACATTTGTTTTTTCTTTTGTCAACCGCGTGGTCAACCGACCTTATTTCTGGTCGTTCGTATAATTGTCCATTTTCTTTTACGTGGTGTACGCGACAATCGTCGTAAGTCCCGAGACAGTCGGGGCTTGACGTGTGCGTCCCATCCGTCATTTAGATCGAATATCGATGATCTATTTATTGTGACACTGCCATCATACTTTCTCCATACGTGCCACCACGGTCGCCTTACCAGTCCATACTACAGCGTGGCTTTGCCGAGTTGCAGACAGCAGTACAGGTCATACTTTTTGTTCTCATTTATTGTTATTAATTATTATATATATTTTATATTGTATGTATTCAGACAAATAAGTTGTGATTTAATTATTAAGAATAATACGGGCCCGCACATTATTATTTATTATCATTCGTCATTGTTATATACGCTGTGTTGCGATTAATATATTATGTCTGGCGCACGGCGTCAGTTTATTGTATCATAATTTGTATTTTGTATTATTGATATTTTCACACCGTGAGGTACCTTGTATATTCCAACACTCCGCAAGTCGTGGCCGACAACCGCCGCCCTCGTAGGAGCGGTCGCGGCGCAACACTTACAATTAATTAATTAATTTAATTTAAGTTATTTGTTTATTTCTTTTTTTTAATACTTAAATAGACAGTAATATGGTTTAAAACAATAAAAGTAAATGTTTATGCAATATGCATTATCAATAATGGTTTTATTATATTTATTATTTAATTATTTATAAATTAATTTGGATTTGATTAAAAGTAACTCATTATTTATTAAATTTATATCAATAAAAATCAGTCAAGTTAAAAATGAAGTTGATGAAAATTAAATTTAAAAAAGTTAAATTAACTTAACTTTTACTTTTACTTAACTCGTTTATGCCCAGATTTGTTATAATGTATTTCAAACTTGTAATTTGTAAATATTGTAATATTTTTTAGAACAAATGGTATAAAAGGTATAAGGTGAAAAACAATTAAGTAGGTATCAATTTTCTTTTACTACAATGGATCTTGAATTAATATAGTATATGGTGATAAAATTAGTGAACCAAATAATATAATGAATTTAATTAATCTAAAATATATTTAAATGCATACAAATTTAATAAAACTTACTTTAGGGTTCAAAGCGAATATTATATTAAATATTAATATATCTATTATGCAATATCACAAACAGTTACATGTTAAAAAAAATTAGGAATTCCAAATCACTTATATACAAAATAGAATACAAATTGTACACAAAATAATAGGTATATTCTAGGTCGTGGTTTACAGTAATAAACATAATATCTCATTTATTTTTAGAAATTTTAAAACATAACATTTGATTAATCGGTAAACATAAAAATTCGCAGATTTACTGTTAAGGCATTTCAAAAATCAAGTTAAAATATAATTACTCGGGATTAATAATTTAATATCAATAGTGCAATACCATACAAATTAAAATTGTGAAAATCATAGCTTTGCAACGGTCTAAAAAATGTGTCTTAAAAAACAAGTCAATACGGCATATTGAAACCTAACGTTCGAAAGCTTGCAGGCGTGCCGCACCGCAGGTAGTCTGAACTCCGAAGAATAATATAATTGTAATTATTAATTAAATATACATTTTAAAAATAGGGAACTATAACACCTAATACGAGATCGTGGAAATTGAAACCATGTTAATATTATTATATGGATTCAAATTATCAAAATTATTCAAATTTCGGTTTGACGTTTCGTGAACGATTCAAAAGTATTGTACATGCAGCGTATTTAAAAATATTGTAGATTATAAAAACGACGAGGAATATGCAAGCGATGGTGAAACCCATCACGTCCAATAGGTAATATTGGTACCACGACAGATTGAGCGCCGGAGACTTCAAGTGCGATGCTCCACGGTGACGTAGGACGTACTCCGTCCAGTAAACGACCAACGACTCCGGTGACATAGGTCGATCCTTGAATATTTTCATGGCGTTTTAAGCGCTCATTGAATATCTATACGTAAGTACAAGAATAAAAATAACAGTAATTAGGATTAATGCATATTATTATATAATATTATGATTGACTTCTAAAGATTCTGATTAAGAATTAATACGCTTAATAATTTGTAAAATATTCTAAAATGATAAAATTACTTTGACAATATTTTTGCATTTATACAACTAGGATGAATAATATTAATTGCATATTTCTGCATAATAAAATTAATAGTTGCATGTGTAGTGATCTGATGACTACTGGTGTCGTTGAGAGGAATAGGATGAGGTATACTATAATCATTATCATTAAATTTAAGAAAACGGTTTGGTAAATAGTTTTTCAAAATACAAATAACACATTACAAGCAGACCAATCGATTCAAGAAAGCCAAAAATGTTTTAAATTTCTAAATTTCCAAATCCATGTTTACTTAACATTGTGTGCAAAGTGTCTATACAAATAAACTATTTACCCTAAGTTAGTATGGTTTCTTAAATATTTTAAACATATTACATCATGTATTTTTTAAAATGATTACTGAAAAGAAAGTACTATATTATATTGGTAACTATTTTTTTGAAGGTTAAACGATTAAATAAGTAGGTGCTAATTAATAAATTGGTATTTTTTAAAGAAATATTTTTGAAATGTTGCATTTTTAAAAAATAATATGAGTGTATTTTAGAATTTTAGATTGATTTCACAATGATGAGTGTTTTATTTTGTGTCTGTCATCACTTTATTGAGCAATAAAATGCTAAGATATTCATCTTCCATATATTTTCTGGAAGAGAAGAAGTGAATTGAATTGCTACTTTAAGAGACCAGAAGAAATTAATTCTAAGTACTTTTTTTAACAATTGGAAAAAACAAAAAAAAAAAAAATATAGAAAACTGGCATGTTAACAAAAAAACCAGTTGTAATTTAAAACAAATAACCGTTATATCTTTAAATTAGAGGAGTCCAACCTTTTGGGAAGTCGGGGCCACATTATGTGAGTAAAAGACATGGGTCAAATACTTATATATTTTATAATAATACATTTAATTTATAATGACATGGGGAAAAATACATTTATTTAAATTTTAAAGAAGATATTTTTTTAAAAATAATAATAAAACTAATATGGAATTTGAAATTTATCTCCCCGAATATTGGTCTTTAATTCTTATCGGCCTCATCTTTTTGAATAACATGATTACAAACGTTTTTACTCGCTAATTTTTATTTAACGTTGCCACATTGATTTGTGAACCATTACAAAATATTATAATATTAAATTTATATATTTTTATAAATTAATAAATTAAATTAATTTATTAATAAATATAAATTATTCATAAATTGCATAATTTTACATAGATAAACATTAAAAAATAAAATGTTTTGTCAACTGCTTTAAAAATGTAATTGTTAAAAAAAAATATTAATTATTCGTAAATATATTGTTTAATATATAGGATACATATGAACTTATTGTCGATTAATTTTATTGGAATTACAATTTTTATTTGGACATTCCCATTTAATTAATCCATCCCTGCGTTGTCTTATTAAAAAAATAGTACCTATATAAAATGATTTAGTTATTTTTGTTCTTTTCAGAAATAATAAGTTTAAAGTTTTCGATTATGAACACTAATATTAAACATTATTACGAACAACAGAATTCGAAGACGGCTTACCCAACAATTTAGAATGTTAATAATTATTTACAGAAGAATATAGGCTCCGTAAACCGCTATATCGTATTTAATATCTTTATTGCTATCATAAAGCCGCAAATAGCGTTCGAGATTTTTTTTAGGAAAAAGCTTAGCCTCTAAAGACGACCCTCTATATTTGAGCCTACGATAGCTATACTTGTATACGACGATATGAAAAATGAGGATAAACGATAAAAAATCATTCAATATTAATAAAATAATAAAAAGGTATAAAATATTATTTCATTGATCTACCAATAAAAGTCGCAGTTGTGCTACCAAAAAGGTGTGCCATGTTATCACTGTCCGATTACAACAACGATTATAACATTCATATATAGGCACCTATTATGTACAATCTATTTAAGGTTAATTTAATTTAAATATGTTTTTAATTTAATATTTTTAATATAATATTTTTTTTCATAATAATATATATTATAATAAATTAGTTGATCGATTTGAAATTGACGTTGGACCTCATTAAAATCTACCGCGAACCGTGGGTTGGACACCTACCTCTGATATTTAAATGTTGAATAATGTATGTTTTATTTACATGGTATAATTTAAACAATATTTTTACACTTTTTGAATTATATATAAACGATAAACGTTGTATATATTTTTAGTTTTTTTCTATTAGTGTCGATAAAAAATATTTCACTGGGTCAAAAAACTTGAAAATTTAATATAAGGTTCCACTTAAGTTGTCTATTTTAAAATATTAAAGATACCTAAGTATAGAACCGATTTTTTTATAAGTATTTGAAGTTTATATTATGACGAGATTAGATATTTAAACGAAGTATAACACTTGAAACTTATATGTATGCATTTTGGTGGTAAGTAAACAATGTTTAGTAGTTTGAGTAAACAGAGAGTTGAGTCAATAAAAAAAGAACAAACATTAATTTTCAGTATAAAAAAAAATACAAATATACCTACGCGTTGTCCAATATTTGGTCAACTGTTATACACTTAAGAAATTTTTCAAACATTTAAAATTGTTTTCAAAATGGTAGGTACGTTGACTGACCCGCATGGCTTACGCCTTACACCCGTATGCATTTCAGTAAATTGTATAGTGTATACTCAGCAGAGCAGTTTAGGCTATTTAAGACTACTCCCCCTTTTTTTGCTTTCAAATTCGGTCTTTATTTTTATTACAGAAACAAGCGGTAGTTCATAAATTTAATTAATCGTGGACGTTTTTAATATTTTAACTTACTTTTCGTTGTTGAGGAGTTCCAAGACATTGTTTAAGAACGAATTTTCGGTGACGGACAGTAGGTCCATCGAAATTGCCATGTCGGCGTTGACCAGGTTGTCAATATTTCTCGCCTGGTCGCCGACCAAAGGAAATCCGAGGACCGGGACACCAGCGTCCACGGTTTCGTATAGCCCAGATATACCTCCGTGGCTGATGAAAAGTTTCACATTGGGGTGCACTGTAACAACGGATACAAAAAGTGTAAAACGTTTTATCATTTAATAGGTGTTAACCAAATTTATTATTTGTGACCTCGGTGATTTGAGTTCATGTGATAATGATATTAAGAAATTAATGTGATATTATATATTTTAGTATTTACAAAGTATATCTCGTTGGGGAAGCCATTTTTTGGTCATCATGTTTTTTGGTTTGTCTTCCATTTCATCTTCGTATTTCAACAAAACTCTTTGTGGGACTCTCGCAAGCGCCTTTATCAATGCTTTTTTTACGCTTTCCGGTATTGTAGACATTTTTACGGTTGAACCAAAACTGAAATAAATTACTCCATGAGGCGACTGTTCAATGAATTCTAATACATCCTGAAATCAAAAAAAATTATATTTATTTAGGAATATAAAACAAAAAAATCTATCAATCAACAAATTAGTGTCTTAGGCCTTAGCTAATATTATGATGATATTACATAATAATTGTTAGAAGCTTGAATGGCGAGACAGTGTTACTCCTCTGTTAATATCAATTTTAAATAATATTTTAGATACAAATTGAAATACTTGATTACAACATTTTATACAAATTAAATATTTTTAATTATTATTTAAACTATTATACCTGTACAATATAGGCCGATATGTCTATAAACGTAGAAGTAGGTATAGAATAGAGGATACAGATATTTAAAATTAATGTTCTATTCTGTCCTTAAAATTATATTTATTTTTAGCCTTACTAAACTTAAAATATAATTCATTTATAATAATGTTGGATGTTGAAGAATTGAAGGTAAAAATATACCTTTTAACTTTTATATAGATAATTTAAACAGTATAATATATTAGTCAGTGTATAGTCAGTATAATTGTCTATTGTTATATTTTATAGAAAAAATAATCTTCAGACTAATACAAATGCATTGATTATATTTAAATTAACTCTGCATTATCAAAATGAAAATATAATTTCAGTAGTATACTGGATAGTGACCACTGAACATTGTTTTTGCAATCTATTTTGACTTATGTATTATTATTTATGCTGGACACTATTATATATGTAATCAGGATTTGATGGTAGCATTCAATTACATGCGACGATTTCTAGAAGAAAGAAGACAAAACTTTAAGACATAAAGTTAACGTATTTTGACGCAGCTTAGGCCTTTCAGGGAACTCAAAAGTTGAAAAATACGTACTTATCTGAAGATTATTTCAATGTTTTTTATCAGGATATAATTAGAATTTGTATGCTAAATTATACGGTTGAGTTAATTGTTGAAAATTAGATTGCTATTAAAATAAACAAGTCCCTAATACCACCAATAATAACATATATAATAACATTATTATGATCGTCGATCGCCGATTTCGTATACCAATAATAGTATTGGACAATTATTTTTAATTAGTGATTTCTCACTTTTGGCAAACTCTTGGCTGCTTTCAGATGTATTCCGCCCACATCGACGACGTTCCTGGGCACCGGACTCGGGGCGTCGGTAATGAAATGTCTGTTGACGAACACCAAAGACGGTGGCACGGGGTCGAGTAGATCGTACTCCTTGGGCGGTTCGGTGTACTTGAGCACGAGCTCCATGTACCGCTGGGCAACCGAACCGTAGACCAGTAACGCCGCGTTCCTCAGCCTTTCCAAGAACGTCTCGGGGACGGCATGCGCGGTCATCAGGTTGGAAACGGCGGCGGGGTTGGACACGTGACCGGTGATGGTGCGCTCCATGAAGGCGATTAGGGGCAGCGGCGTGACGTAGATAAGCGGCACCCCGAGCCGGGCGGCCACGTACGACATGCACTCGGACCAAAACGACTCGATGAGCACAGCGTCAAAGGCCGCGGGCGACGACTGTGGCCGGTCCTGCAGCAGTTTTTTCATCTCGTCGCTGCCGTAGACCACGTCACACTGCGACCGACCCATTTCCACGAAAGAGCCGTACGTCCACAGCGGGTTGCGGAAGTGGTCCAGGAGGCCGACCAGGTCCAGGTCCAGGCCCACCGGAAACCCGTTGGATATGTCCACTTCCGTGTAATTCTCGCGGTCGCCGTCCAAGAAGGGTGTGAACGCGGTGACCGTATGTCCGTTGTCCACCAGTGCCCTGATAATGCCACTCATGAAGTTCCAGTGGCTCCTGCCACCAACCGTCTCCACGGCCAATATCCTGGCGCATCCCGAGGGAACGGGCCCCGGCCACCCAGCCAACGCGAAGATCATCACTGCAGCAGCAGTGCCAGAGACCAACCGCATTCCGGTACGCATGTTACCCGCAGTAATACGACACTACGACCTAAATTATGTGGACTCGCGATATGACGATTTCCGGCGAGAAATTAAAAAAAAATTGCGACAGTCGGCGAGGTAGGCAAAATCGTGTTTTCCGATTGTGATCGACGGATATTAAACTAGTTCCGGTTCGATTGATGCGTATATGGTTAGCGTTACGGTGCGATCGGTTTAGTGGTGTGCGAATCGTACTAGGGCGCCGTTTTTAAACCGGTCGAGTGCCTATTAATATTAGAAATTGCCATCATCGACGACGCTGTTAATCTATATGAATCATATGTTATAGCTGAAATATGTATTGTGTATTGTGTATAAGCACTTTTATAACACTTCAGGCTGAGATAAGAGCATGAAATATTGTTGCAATTTTCGAACACTCAAAGTTCGAGTTTTTTTTATACTTATATATTACGAATTTATGAATTGCTGGTATTATAATATAGGCTTATCGTTTTACGCTAAATTTGCGGTCATTGAACTCTTTAACATGGATAACAGATCGTGGAAAATAATGCAATAGATATAAGTATTTTGATATAGTGTTTGTTTTTGTTTTTTGTGCGTCTCAGACTACATTCAATTATTCAGCTACCTATACCTATTATATAATTTATATTTATGTGATAAAGAGTGATACTTTTTGTAGTTGTTATAGATATTTAGAGTGCTTATCAAAAGTAACTGGAACTAATGATTTTCGTTTTTCGAAATGTTTCAAATATATTTATAGCACCAGTATAGAGTATACATAATTTTTGTAAGGGAGGGGATCAGTAAAAAAAAATTTAAACCTAGATATCTGCACATTTAACTAATAAATAACAAAACATATATTTTTAATAAATTTTATTTCAAAACCACAAACAATTATAATTTATGGTACAAAAAGTATTTTTTTTTTTTAGTAATTACATCAATTACTTCTTCAGCACTAATAAGAATGAACTTGATAGGTATGTCCATAATTGTCCATGTTAATACAAAACTAATTATATTTTAGTTTAAATGCGTATAACTCATCTGTGCATTGTAATATTATTTCTAAAAACTCTTTCTAATGTAGGAAAATGTATGTAGTTGCACGGACATGTGGACTAACAGCGACGATTAGCGGATCAAATTGTATTCTTGTTATAATTATATTAATGAAATTAATGAATGATTATTGATTACTGAAACTGATAAGTCATCAGTGTAATAGTGTGCCACCTGTTGGATGTGACGAAATAAAAATGTGAAAAAATCCTAGCTTTTTATGTTTAATTGTAACGCCGAATACTAAGAAAACTATTTTATATAATTTTAAAAAAGGCCTATAGGGGGATTTGACTGCTATACCTCCCCCGCCCCTATACACCATTGATAACACGTTGAATTATATAATAGCATGGTTAAATAATAATAATAATATATAGTATATTTATAGTGTAGGTATTCAAATCAGAAGTTTTAATTAAAAAAATAAAATGTTTTCGTAAATATCAATTTGGCTACTTTTTTTTGTTTGATGACTATTTTGGTGTGAGTTGTACATAGATATTGTAGACTGATGAACACACTAATAAATCGCATACATTAATGAGCCGCTTTGACTTAATAACATAATATTATATTAGAATCTAAGGAATTAAATAAAAAAAAAATTAATAAATCCTTATGCTTCAAAAATGATTCTTGGTTTAAGAAGTTTGTTTTAGTTTTTCATCTTTAAAAATTGATAAATAGACTATTTTCTAATAGAAACAAATGTAAGCATATTAATAATTTGAAACTCATGTTTGATTTATTTATATAATATAAGTTTAATAAAAGTTAAAAAGACAAATCTTTAATAAAATAGTAAAAATTAAAATTCAGTCAATCATGTTAAATACTTATGAGTTTATTTTTAAGTCATTGCTTTTCGTAAATATTATAATTTACAACGTACAACTATATTGGTATGCTTTATTAATAGTTATATAATATTAGCAGAGCCTAAAGATATATTATAACTACGATAAAAATAATAAATTGTTTATCTTTAATATAGTTTCTAATTACTCCGTTTAAATTTTAAATATTAATAGAAAATAATACATACCAATGTACCATATAGAATTATAATCTTATGAATTGGGCTCGGAAGTTTTTGCATATTTTGCATATTTTTTGTAGGATATTAGTTTTATTGCTAAGCGAGCCAGAAATTAGTTGAAAAATATTACGAATAAAATATTTAAAGCACTCCGATAAATGTGTTGATTTTACATAGATATGTTTTTATTTCTGTCTACTATCACTTTTCGGAACAGTAAAAATGCTTTGATTTTGTACTTAAGCATCTTTTCTGGTAGGAAAATCAATCTATTTGTTACTTTAAGAGGGGAAAGAACAAACCAAAGACCAGTAATTTTCAAAAGTGATAGAAAAAAACAAAAAACAAAAATTGAGAAAAACGGGAATTTTTAGGCAAAACTAATTTTTGACACAATCGATTTTGTTTTTTCGTAGTAACTCAAAAACGAATAACTGTAGATTTTAAATCTCACAATATATATTAGATCATATTCAATGATTAATGGTAATAAAATTCATAAAATAATTTATTTATATGCATTAACTATTTTGAGGAATCATCATTTTTATATAACTTTAAGAGTATCTAACAGTATAATATAATAAGCACCTAAAATTAATTTAATTTTCCTAATAATATATTAACTCCGGGATTAACAGACTGTTTATAATTTTATGAAATATTGGTTTAAAAATAATAATTCCATATTTATACTTTTTAAGCCCATAAATATGACATGTGAATTAAAATAAAATTGAAAAATATCTGGATATAAATATAAATGGGTTTACTGTAAATTTTTTTGTTTAAACCGTTGACCAATTTCAAAATTTTAAAATCATAATTGTTGACTATAGTTATTATTGAAAGTAATTTATTATCAGAACTTAATAGTTAATACCATAATTAGTACCGTATGCGTGTATCATATCGTATGTAGTGTTGTAGTGGTAGGTTCTATAACTTTATCATTTAAAGCTCTTATTACGGTCATTGAACCCATGGTTGAATATCATTGAAATTAATAAAGTACTATCGTTGGTACTTCACTTTAATCCAAGTAATATTAATAACAATATTGGTTATCAAAAGTGCTTACCATCTTATTGGTTAAAAACATATCTAAGAAACAACCATCACGCGAAGATCACTTACACTACGGTAGGTCTTTTTTGTTTAAATACTTCTTCAGGTGTTCTACCAGTCTTGTTTATTATTTAGATATTTGTATTTAAATAATTCTTTGGTATTTCAAATACTTTTCAAACACTTTTTGACAAGCGTATTTTAAATACTTTCAATGTACTTTGTTTTGTTTTTTATTTTAAAATATTAAATACTTTTTTTGTTTTTACTGACGTATTTCAACTAACAATTTTTTTATTTTATATATTACAATTTTAAAAATTGGTCTTACCACAATATTTCAGAGCTTCTAAGAATTTTTGAGATTTCATTAAATACGCATACAACTCAATACCTAAAATTCATATATACCTTGCCAAGTTTAACTTGATAATATAATAGGTATGTGACATCTAATATTATTGAATTATAAAATGAACTTACTTATTAATAACTTTAAGTAGGTAAATATACATTTGTGTTAAACGTGCAAACATTTTAATATGAAAATAAAAAATACTTGTAGAACACTCCTAAAATGTATTTGTATTTATATAATTATATTCAAATACGTACGAAAGACAGTATTTGAATGAATATTTCAAATACAAATGACATCAAGTATTTAAATTGGCACCTATTCTGAATAGATTTGAAAAGTATTCTTAACAAGGCTGGTATGCAACTACTTAAAATCTCAATACCTATGTATACAATTAAATTTTTAAGTATTGTGTGTTAAAATAATAATTATAATACCTATGAAAGGCCACATTACTGTAATCAGGATAGGTATATTTTCCATGGTAATTTGAAACGCATACTTAAAAAAGTACATTATGACTACTGAATAGGCAGGGGCGTCCCTAGACAGTTTTCAAGGGCAAATCTATAAAATACAATATTTAGTTATGTGGACCACCAAATTTGTAAAAAAATCTTTGAGGTCCACTAACAACACATCTATACACTTATGCATATGATATATATATACGTCAGTTAGGTATTATAAATTAATGACAATTTTTTTTGAAAATCTCTTTTACGCAAGTGTCAAGTAGAAAGCAGTTATTTGTATTTAAAAAATGGTAATACTGCCATGTTGATAAGACATAAGCACAATACATAGATAAAGTACAAAATAATAAAACCACAACCACAATAAATAAAAATTATTTAAACATTTAAAAGCCTCATAAAGTATCTACTTCCTAAATAATTTATTTTTCTCTACCTCAGAGCAGAACAGAATAATAAAATTATTATATTTATTTGAATTTTTTACTCAATAAATAATACTAGAATATTATTTGATGTAGGTAGGTTTAATAAATATAATATCTTTTTTTTTTAATGACTATGGGTGTTTGTTACACAGTTATAAATGTGTCAAAAAATTGTAAAAAAGGAAAATTGATATGACAATAGTATAAATGTCGGGTATGTTACTTTAACAATCAATATCGTTGTAATAAGTTTTAGTAAATAATTATAATTATTCATAATGTAGTAAAATTATTAAAGTATCATTTACAGCACATGTTTATGTATTTTTTTAAACACGTTTATGAAGTATTTCACCATAATTTAATCATAATATTAATTTTTTGTGGCTAACTGGTCATTTTTTTAAAGTCTTATACTAATGTAGTAATGTTTATGTGAAATTAATTTAATTGAACAGATATACTTATTAGCTATTGGTTTTACAATTATGTATGTTTTTATATTTTATTTTTGTGTCAGAACTTCTGAGCACTTTTTCTAGCAGAAAAAATGCTCCAATCATTAACTCCGAGAAAGGTCTCTGGTAACGAATTGGCTCTAGTTTGTACTAAGCAAATGTATCAGAAAAACAATATAAACATAAATTAAAATTTTAATATTATTGTTGTAATAATTGTTTGGTAACCATGGTTAGGTAGTAGGTACCAAAAAGTTAGACCGTCTCCTCTCAGAACCGTTTGTATCGAATACCTTCAAAGATTTATCATTGAATTCAAATGTATTACATTCATTGCAGTGACCTACTCATTGACGAAGTACACTGGACACCGACTGTACGATGTAATATTTTGTTGTTTTATGCATAATATTAATCATAGAAACTTGAAATATCATCTAACTTTAAGTACATTTTTATTTTTTTATTTTACACAATAATATATACAATCTGTACATTTATGCACAATTAGCATATTTGATAAAGGTTATAATAATACATGAAATACGTTATAAGAAGCCACCCACTAGTGGCAATTTACTGAATATTGTATGAACCTAACTATATTTTATATATACTGATTTTTATTTTTTTTCTTCTTTCATATTAGTTCCTTAACAAGTCACTGCACCAGCTCCTTTTTAAACGACGCTTGGGGTTGCCAGGTAATGTTTGGATGGATGGGTTTTTAATGAGTGGGTTTTGGTGTGTTTGTAGGCGTTCATGAAAGATTTTGTAGACGCTCGTAGCTTCTTCTGTCACTGTTTAAATTGACAGGTCATTATGTATAGTGTAATTCGAAACAAAGGGTGGAGCATTAGTAATTTTCCTAAGAGCAATATTCTGAAATTGTTGAATTTTGTTGGTATTGGACACTTTTGCTGTGCCCCATAGTTGGAGACCATATGTCCATGATAGAGGTTTGAGTAATGTTTTATACATAAGAACTTTAATTTTTAAACTGGAGTGTTTATTATGTTTAAGTAGAGTTGGTAACCTGCGAAGGTGGGCGTTTAAGGCAAGTATCTTTATACAGATATGGCTATTCCAAGTGAGGTGCTTATCCAAGTTAAGTCCTAGATATCTAGCTGTGTCGGATGTGGGAATACAAATTTAAACACATAGAACTCTTATTAATTACTCGTCCGAAACTCGATTTTTATACAACAAAATACCCTGAATAAAATTTTGCTTACGGATATGCAATTAAAAACTCACCTATGTTGTTATTCAAAAAATAATAAAGCTTATACAATTATGACGATAACATTTTTTCAAAAATTTGGGTTTTTAATGACCTAAAAATATGTAGAAAATATCTTCAAAAACGCTTATAGTTTTTTAAAATAATTAGTGTGAATCACTTGAAAGTTGAAAGTAAAGATTATAAACAAATACTTTCAAAATATCTAAAATAACGTGTTACCTAGTTATTTCACTACCTATACTTTATGGCTACAGCCTAAACACATTCATAGGTAGGTAATATAATACCTACATTAAACATTTATTAACTAGATGGTAGGTACCTACTTATAGACTTGCAAGACAATAGAACGAAATTTAATCGTCCATCGAGAAGGAAAACGGTGATGTTTTGCAACCGCCTACAAAATATAATTTTAACAATGGTGAGATTTAAAAAAAACTCAGAAAATTGGATAGCAGAACTCTTCTCACGTTTCAGTAACCAGCCATAACAATTATATTATAGTCAACCACAGTATTTTCCCACCGTTCGACCGCTGGTTGTGCACTGGCCACGGTGTTTATAATATCACAGTTCATAATCATAGAGCAGTTACTTTACATGTAATAGTATAATAGGGTTATTAATCAGTGATCATATTATACAAACATAATGTTATAGCTAAACACGTGTGCCTAACGTACTGCGTGCATGTGTATATATATTGTATCGACGGTGAAAATGTGAAATACCATGACTAGGTAGTAGGTTGTACCTCATAGGTAGGTACCTAGGTACCTACCTAGATTTTAGTATGCGTGCACGTGACTGCAATCGCTCAGCGCTCCACGCGGAGATTTTTCGTCGGCAGTGGTGGTGGTCGTCGTCACGATGGCTGATGAGTATGATGCACAATAATATTGGTAGGTAGGTATAATAACGTGTAGCGTAGGACGCACGTGATTTCAACGGAGTATTAATAATACGCATCATTTCTATTCTCCGAACAGCGTAACAAACAGTGAATATTATACACCCGCGAGGTCCGCGCGGGCAGTGTCAACCGCAGCTGTCCGCGTTAATATTTTTTGTAATTTTTTTTTTTGGGACACATCATACGAGTGCACACGAGTGAAGAATCATAATATTTTTGAACCAATAACAACCATAACACAATAAGTAACACGATGGAACAGTGGAGAGGCAAAGTGGCTATAGTTACTGGCGCCAGTGCTGGAATCGGGGCGGCCATCGTGGTCAAGTTGGCGGAGAGCGGCGTGCACGTCGTGGCGATCGCCAGGAGAGAAAACGCGCTCAAGGTAAACCATTGCTTTATTAAATCAATTCGAATCTCGGATTCGAGCAAAAAATTATTATTTTCAAAATATTTCGCACCCCTCCCCCTCTTTTATAGATAATATTCACTTTCCTGTATACAGTGAAATTCAATTAAATAAAAATAACAATGGTAAAATGAATTTGTTGCCAACATAATTTCTTACTTTTTAAATTGATCCTTAGTATTCGTATATATGATAGGTAGAAACTTGATTCGTAATCAAGAATGTCGTAAATAAACATTGTTTATTATTATCTTTGTTAATATTTGCCATTTATTTTACTATCTGTTATGCGGCATATTGAATTAATTTTTGTAGAAAATATTGCATTTATTTCATTGTTAATATTTAATTACTTTAATAGTATAATATATTATTATTATAAACTTTTGATTGAATGCCGACTTACGGTGTGAATAAGTTCGGATAGCTTAAAATGAATCCAAATGTTTTGAAAATGTCATTGTGTAGGTATATACAATATAATATATAGGTACCTACCTACGTAAAAGTGTCGAGTGTTATTCTTCGTTGAAATATCTAATTTCACCCAAATTTGAACTTAATACTTAAATGTCTATAAAAAATTCGAGCCTATGTAAGTATTTTTAATATTTTTAAGAAGCTATAATAAATATTATGAGGAACCACGAATCAAATTTCAAGGTTTTTGATCAATCCAACATTTTTTATCAACATACACAATTGGAACCTACATTATTATTACAGGCATATAAAAGGTGGCACTGCGAACTAAATTTAATTATATTTGGTGAACACAGTGATACAAAAAAAGGGGGTGTTTTTTTCTTAAGCTAAACATTTGGATTTTAATTATTAAAGTTTACTTCTTTTAGAATTCTGGAAAGAATAATGAACCATTCATTAACTCATATACAAAAGCTATATCGTTGAACAACAGTCTAGAAATAGACTCTAAACCAAGTAGATATTTCGTTAATCGATTGTATTCTGTTGGTATTTTGTTGAGTGTAATGTGCTTGTCTGCATATCGAGTATCGACTATTCGAGTCTTCAGTAAATTTAATTTGATGGTTCAATATTTAGCTCAGAGAAATGTCAACTATAATTGTTAAACAAGAGTCACATTTTCATTTTATTTTTTTCTTGGTTTCTATTGAATTGTGAATAGCATTGTACTAGGATAACAAATTCGATTTATTAAGCTGACTTGGAACTATTTTGCCGACACCAATTATATTAAAAAGTAATACCTATAGCTGTACGATGAATTCAATTCAGACATTTAATAACCGTAGTTTTTTATTTTTATTGACGATTACATATAATAATGCATAACTATAGTATAAAAATTCAATAAAATAATTGCAATTAAAAAGCGTATGTAGTTGAGTTAAGCGGATGACTGCGATGGGATGATAAAGCTGTGATTATGGAATGCAAATTTTATCGGTGATTACGGAGCGGTAAGAATAGGTATTAGGTTACAGCTGATGGATAATTATGGAAAGGAATTTATCGTAGTTGATTATATAATACTTATAGGTAGGTAGTTGAAATAATAGTTGAATATTCGAACACGGATTTGTTCGATCAATATTAAGATTTAAATTTTGAAGTAATGACGACTTAAGTAATCCAATGGTTTGTCGTTGAAGTAATAGACTTATTCTTGTTCCGATTTCATAAGATTTTAACAAGTTAAAAAAACCCGTTCTAGACACTGGCTTTAATTATTGTTTGTAATATAACTTTGAGTAACTCGTGGTTTTTAAAATTCATCGTGTACCACCTGATAGGTACTTGTCGGTGTCGTATTAGGCGTTCGGCGTGTTATAAGATTTCGTCGGTAGAATCATCAAACGCACTGTATGCACCGTGCAAATAATGACCACAAAAACAGATTATTTGGCTTTGATGACAACTATTTGTACTTGAAGGTTTAATCACAGAAAATTATTTGAAATATAGTTGCCAGTGACTGAAGTCTAAACTTTCTATTACATTATATTATATTTATAAAATCAATATTTATTATTTGATAGGTACCTAATGATTATTGTTTACCTTAGTCGGGCATAATTTTAGCAATGCCACGCCGAGTGCCACAACTAATTGCGATGATGTTATCTAGTTTATAGTAATCGACTTAAAATCTTATGTTAGTGTTTGCAGTTAACAATAATTTCGGGACTACTTATTAATTACATCAATAACCTCATATTGTAAGTACCTATACTATTCAAACACATACAATTCCCAATATTGTAGTTATTGTAGATTAATTATGTTAATCAATTAACGATCAAAAAATACAAACAGTATAAACTGTCATTGTTGATTAGTTGGACCTACGGATCATCAGTTATGAAGCACCAATTATTTTCCACACAATTCATTTTTAGATTCAGAGTGGAACGATGAATGTATTGATTTTACAATGATGTGTGTTTTTTTATTTTTTTTTTATTTTCTTTTGTGTCTGTCATCACCTTTTAGGACAGTAAAACTGCTTAGATTTTCTTCAACAGCAACTTTTCTGATTGGAAAGTGAATCTAGTTGGTACTTTGGGAGGTCAAAAGTAAAAATTTCCCAGTAGTTTTCAAAAGCGACGTGAAAAACAAAAGAAAAATTAAGGAAAAACGGGGATTTTTACGCAAAATCGATTTAAATCGATTTTGGTTTTTGTTGTAACTCTAAAAAAAATGACCGTAGATATATGAAATTTTCATAGGTTGTTTATATTTGTATTTTCTATACACGGTAAAATTTTGAAAATAATTTGACTCTTTTTGAACTGTTTACGGACATTGTCAGTTTTCAATTTTCTTAGTTTTTATTTCTATAAATACCAATAAAATTTTATTTGTTGGGCGAAAAAGCTTTTATTAAATAGCAATTTTATTTGTTGGTTAAAAAAACTTGAAAATTTAATACAAGGCTCCTAGTATATTGTTTCAAAGGCAGATGAAAAAAATTAAAAATCTTTAGTCACAGTTTTTTTTTTATAAGCATTTAAAGTTCAAATATTGACAAAATACGTAAAAACGACGAAAATTTGGAAATTATTTTAAGTTAGAAATTCATAAAAAATTTTGTTTTTAAATCTAAGATTTTAAAATTTAATACAAGATTCCTCATAAGTTTGTATACCTTTATCAAAAAAAAAAAATTTTAGAAGAAAGTCAAATTAAATTTTTATGAGCGCTTGAAATTTATATTTTTACAACATTTGATATTCACTCGATTTCTCATGTAACGATTTTCTGTTTTTGTTGTAATTAAAAAACGAATGGCTGTAGATACTTGAAAATTTCACTGAATATTGATATTAGCATTTTCTAAACACGATACAATTTTGAAAATAATTTGACTCTTTTTGAGATGTTTACAGACATTGTCAATTGTCAATTTTCTTAGTTTTTTTTTCTATAAATACCAATAAAATTTTATTTGTTGGGCGAAAAAGCTTGAAAATTTAATGCGAGGCTCCTGATATATTTTTACAATAGCAATTGTGAAATATTTAAAATACAAAGCACAAATTTTTTTTATAAGCATTTAAAATTCGAATTTTGACAAGATTGATCAAAATCTCGAAAATTATTAATCACTGTAATTAAAAAATTATAAAATGTTCAGATTTTATAACTAAGGATTGAAAATTAAAACAGAGATTATCATAAATAGTTCATACTGTAACCAAAAAATCTACAAAATACATAAACACAGTTATTTTTTACAGACATTTTTAATTCAAAATTGGACGAAATTAGATATTAAAATCAGTAATAACGATTTTGGTTTTTTGTTGTAATTTAAAAATATTATTCGTCGGTATAATATGAAACTGAAGAATCAAAAAAATCAAAATATGGCCTATCTATACAATCTACAGTTTAATATTACGATTAAGTCAATTATTTTACTAATACCATAGATAATGTGTATGTAATAGTAGTATGTAATATGTCTTAAACCAAGACTGACATACCGTCTCCACTCAGAATCGTTTTTCTTATACAATGATATTGTATCATTGAATTCAAATTTAATTCCATCCATTATACAGTGACCCATTTGCAACCTACTGTACAGCAGAGCGACATCCACTTACCCGCTTTTTTAACTATTGTCTCGTAGAATTTCGTATTTTTCTAAAATATATTATGCAAGTAGTTTGTACATTAACTGTACATAATATATTATACTTAATTATATATCATTTACACTTTTACAAAAAAAAAATTGAAATATAAATATGACATTATTTGTCATAAAAGAAACCAATTTTTTTTTTTAAATTCAATACTTATAGTGCGCTGTGCCTGTCATCAACATAATAAATTAGTATAAAATTCAAACAACAAAAAAGAATAATTTAATGAGAAAATATGATGGGGAGGGGTTGTTTATCAATGTATACGTACAACACTTAGGAGGCAAATATATACATATAAAATCCAAATACCACTTAGTCACTGATCGCTGTAACTCAAAAATTACTCAACGTACGAACATGAAATTTGGAATATAAGTTCTTCTCATATTTTCACCCTGCAATGAGGAAGAATTTTTAAAAATGTTGCGTTTTAATTATTCATCGCCAATACGTATTGTGCTGTACGACAAGGGCTCATGGTGGCCTGCGGGTTTCCAGCTACCTGTAACTTATCTTTTTTGTCCGTCGTGTAGATTAGAATTGTTCCGAGAAGTTATAGGGATATATTGTAAATAAGAAAAAAACAAAACTACACATGGGAGAAGCCGGGTAATTCAGCTAGTTGAAGAATAAATGAGATCTCGACGACTCGACATGCCAGTGTCTTTCGAGACGTGACTGGGTGTTGTTGAGTGTTATTGAGAAGCGGGTGAAGATAAGCAAAAAGGTTGGAGAGATAATAAAAAAAAGTAATATCTAAATATTAGATTATTGGAAAACATATTTTAATAATGACAGTTCTTGACAGTTCGAATTTATTAAATAATTGAAAAATAAACTTTAATACTGATACACTTTAACAGCATACTAGTTAGGTTAATAAATGTGTATTGGCTTTATAGTACAATTTATTACGTATTATAAACACACATATTTCAATATTTGGTTTGTTCTTAGGAATTAGCCGAATCTGTAACTGACAAAAGCTACGGGACTATTTATACAAAGGTATGCGACGTCACTAACGAACAAGCTGTAAAAGATGTTTTTTCGTGGGTAGATTCAACACTAGGAGGCCCCAGTATTTTAATTAACAATGCTGGAGTTGCAAAAGTATCGAGCCTTTTAAGTAAGTACACCTACATATGGAATAAAAATAGAAATGCTCGTAAGGCTTTAAATATCGTTTTTGCGATAAAGACGGAAAACTGGAGGATTGGGAAGAAACATTTGATCTCAATGTTCTGGCATTGAGCGTGTGTTCGAGAGAAGCTTATAAATCGATGACAAAAAACAAAATCGATGGGCACATTATTCAAATAAATAGGTAATTTATTTTTATTGTATAAAACGTGTTTTACTTTGATTAAGTTCATAAAGACTAATAAGAGCTACCCCTAAACATTTTCAGTGAATAGTTGATTCTTATTAGAACGAAATTTTGTATTTTTATACCTCCTCCAAACCCACCAAAGAGAGTTTCAGGGTGCTAATTCTAAGCTCGGTAATACAATATTATATTAATAATTAATTTTAATATTTGTCATGATGTTTGTATAGATGACTTGAGGTCTCACGATAATACACCCACCCATTACAGACATAAAGCATTGTTTCAAATAGTCCTACATCCCACTGCCACTGTCGAAGTTGGATGCGTATTATATTTTTTTAATCATGTTTATGTGTTTACATTCCACAAATAGCTTAACGAACAAGATTTTTTACTATTAAATTATTTATTAAAATTAACTATAAAAGTGCTTATTATTATAGATACCTATGTGGCTATTATTTGATTTTAGTATTGCTGGTCATGGTTTAACTCCGTATTTTGGGTTCAAAATGTACAACGCTTCAAAGAATGCAGTTACGATACTGTGCGATGGACTTCGACATGAATTACAATTAACTGGATCAAAAATCAAAGTTTCGGTAAAGTAGAATACAATATAATATTATACAATTATTGTATTATAAAACGTATGACGAGATAATCTTACTGTTAGTTGTTACTCCTATATGGCTAATTGTCCAATTGCATATTATTATTATTTCTTTATAAAAAGTAACGATTTTAATTGATATTTAAAATACAATAATAATATAATATTTAAGCCAATTAATGGCATATACTAATATACAGACATGTGATGGTGTTTCGAATATTCTTCAAAGTAGAATTATATTATATTCTGGAGGAAAAACCTTGATGTAAAAATTAATATCTACAGCAATACTAATACATATTATGAAAATGGCCGTCGTGATTATGATATTATAATATTGAGGTTTGAACATTTTTTTTCAGATAAATTAAAGATGGGATACATTTTAATTTTTGATGTAAATACGTTGACGTGCATTTTTTTGTTCGTTATTATTATTGTTAAAATTAAAAATTATTTCAAAACCTTTTTCGTTAGTATCTGCACTATTTATATTTTTAGATATGTCTCTAGGTTCTTCAGAAGAAATTTAAAGTGTTTAGTTCTTACTATTAGGTATTTATGTATAGCCTGTTTAGGTATACCGTAATACACTCTTATTGTATATAAAATATAATTGTCTCTTTAAATGTGATTAAAAACTGCTTTACGGGCTCTTACGAAGTTTCCCTCATAAAATTTGTAATTTATTTTATCTTTTTAAAAGCTTTCTATTGTAGTTTCTATTTTATTTTAGTCAAGTACAATATGTTTTATTATGTTTTGGTCAATAACCAGACGTTTCCTTTTTAGATAATTTCCTTAAAAACCGTACTTTGTATAATATTAAAAAAATTTAAATAAGTATAAATCATGCTTTAAATATATTTCCAAATTAGGTTAGTTATTAACTGTCATATGCATTTTTATATAAATATAAATTTACTGCGTTTTGATATATTTTATATTTTCAGCCAGTTTAATGTATAAATAATAAACGAAATAATTTTATCTTTTCGCTTACTCGAAAAAAACATAAAAATAATAGGTGCTTAATAATAATTTAAGGGATGATAAAAATCAACTATAGTTTATGGACTATAGTCTATTTAGAGATATTTTATTTTTTGTACATTTTTATAGCAATAATAATACTATCAAGAGGTTTTCTTGGCAACTGTTTGTCGACACAGCTATATATATTTTAATCGATAAGCCAAAAAATACCATATTCTATGCACAGAATAATAGGAATATAATCACATTTTTATTTTACTCTCAAACAGTCTAAGGTCGTCTAAGATCATTAGATCACAATAGTTGGTTAGAACATTAAAAGTTTATAACCAAAACCAAAATAAGCGGAAACTTTATCTTTTATTTTTAGCAACACAATTTTCTTCATTTCCTAACGGTATCTCAACTTATCGTGCTATACCCTTTATAGTAATATTGAGAATAGATTTTGTAATCACTGCCATAGATAATATTAGAATATATGAGCTATGTAACCTTATCACATGCATATACAAATATAACATAACTTAACAAACAACCCCTAGAGAGAGTGAAAGATCGTCTTTCTCTCTTCCACATTAAAGACTATCTATCCTTCTACTATCTATGATCGCTGCCTTCATTATTTAACGTTTGTCTTGTAGATAGGTTTTTTATTTTGTATTTGGACAGCTTACTATTTTAAGAATACAATAACATGCTCAACTAAAAGAAAAATTCCCGAATTAGTCAGGTTTTCATAATTTTTTTATTTATTTTAAGATGAAAACTTTATACAGGTCACATATTGGAATCTTATGAAACTCATATTGAGTTTCAACAACTCTACTTTCATAAGTTGTAATAAGTATCTAAATATTCACAAATCTTTGAGTAGTTGGGTATTTTGAAATATATTTTATTGACGTTACTTTAAGTTATTCAAAAATCGAGTCCAATATAGCAACCAGAATACAATTTTCCTTTTTCGAATAAAAAGGGATGGAAATAAGACTGTAAGAATAATTCTACGAGGCGTGATCGTTTTTTGAAGTTGTTGAAATGAATCTTTGAAGTCAAATGTTTTTATTTTTACCGTTGTATACAGCCTCTACGCAACGTAAATATATAGAAATCGCCTGCATTTTTGCCTTAATAAAATAGCCAACACTGTCAAGTAAATACAGGACGTGTGTTGCATTTTTATACTTATCAGTTGCTTAAGTTGTTTTTTTTATTACACTCTCAAAGATCTCTACTTTAGCAGGGTCTTACTCGCTGTAATAATGTACACTTTGTTGTTGTATTCATTTTTTGTTGAACGTTCATCAAGTACTAATTAAAATGTTGTGAGTTAATTTTCCAACCCAACTCTCTCGGGAATGGTTTTGCACTGAGATGAAAAGCCAAGGATTACGCTTATATAGTTATATTATAATTGATAATATGTATTCTTTATTGGTCAATATTTTTATTTGTTTACTTATAGTGTTATGAATTGTTCCACGATGAGCTCAATAAAACGAAGATGTATTATACAGATGAATAATCATTTTTGTGTAGCCCTTATTGTTTCTTGGCCTTTCAGGATTTTGATTGGGGTGTCAATACTTTTATAAATTGAAAATTCATAATATATATCACGACAACTACTATGATATATTGCCATATTGGTATAAGTATTTATGGAAACATAACTACCAAAGCATTACACACAAATTGTCAATAGTATTCATGTTTTTCGTTGTAAGTATCTAGAGTTAATCAAATCATTTAAAAGCTAAACCATAAAATAAAAACACATTTTAATTTTTACACTGAACGTTTTAGGAACTGGCTGAGAAGCTATTAATTTGCTGATACTGTGATGATCTTTCGATAAAATTCGTTATTTTGTTATAATATGTTATTAATATGCCACGATTGCTGTTGAACACTCTTCTCTTATTATACAACACGAAAAATGTTTTAGTGTTTTTGCTTTTATGGCTTAACAAAATTCTGCCAAAACAAACACACACGTGTTCCCCCCTACCGTTCCAAAAAATATACAATACAAACTACAATACATAGATTAGAATACCTTACAATACAAATCCTACTACAGCTAATGGCCTCAGTTGCCGAAGCTTAAGTTCAATAAAAAAAAAAAAAAAATTATTTTGACTATCGTTATATCAGCAAAAATGTTAAGCGGTCATTAATAAGTGATTTTCAGTGTATATTATAGTGTACTATATATTTAGAATAACTGTAAATATCACACATACATATGTTTATCTTGTGATCTCCGTCTTCGATTACACGGCGTAGTACGGTATTAATACAATGAAAAATATGCTTCATAACGATACGCATCAAAATAATATAATATTGTTTTATATGGGACATAGGTATTTTAGTTTATTATGGTATTTATACCCCCCTCCCGTGACTTACCCCCACCACCAATTTTAGCGGTACTGGGCGTCCCCCCCGCACAGAGACATTTCCCACCTGAACAAAAATATATTTTTTTACACATAAAAATAGATTGGAAAAAAGGTTCTTTGGTTTTATCAGAAATATTCAATCATCGTGTATTGATATTTAAAAAATTTTAATTTCCGTGAGCTATATTACTAGAATAAAAAATATAAGTTACGTTTTATTTGACTTGTATTATTTAATTATATCATAATATTTATATAAATATTTATAATTTATATTTGTGTAGTGTTTAATACTTTTAATATTTATATTACCTAGTGAATTTGTATTGGCATTTGGAAAATAGCAAAAGTGCTATTATGACGTATTATTGAATTATATGTTTGTATTAATTTAATAGGATTATATTGAGCAAATTTATTTGCATCGTATATTGTTATTATTGTTTAATATTTTCAGTTTTATTTTTTGTCCGGGAGAAAATCGTTCCGTTCCGGGAAGGGGAGACGTTCCTTGCATCGGGGGTGAAAAGTCACGGGGGGGGGGGACGTTCTAGATTGTTTATTATATACATAAGCCATAATCTAGTCTCACTCGTTGCATCATCTCTCTTCGCAAGTTAAGTTACGTAGATCGCTTGTTGAATTCTGAGTTTATAAAAATGAGGGGGCACCGTGTATATTACAGTACAATTCAATACAAGAAATTTGTGAAGCAAACACCTGAAAAACATACAATTAAAATGCCAAAATGTGCAATACCTTTACGTTTTTGGTGTAGTACTAGATGCTGGAATTATTGGTGAACAATACAATTGTTTTAGTGTAGATACTTAAAATTAAACTTTCTTTTTTATATTTACTTCATATTATAGTAATTTTGTATGTTGTAGATAATCCTAAATCATACTATTACACAATTTAATTTAATTCACAGTACGTTAATAAAATATACTTTGTACATTTTTTTTTCCTACAGCCACGACGGGTAAAGACTGTATACTTACTAAAGTTTATAGCCGTATCGGTTGTATAATATAGTAAAGTTGTCACAGCTACGTTATCTTTATTATACCTACATCGTATTATATTAAATTCTAATTCTAACGCAGTGGCCAGTGATTAAGTGATTGAGTAATATAGGTACACATTACAAATAATTAATATCTAGAATGCCTGTACCTAATAATACAAAAACGTGCATTTTGGTGAAATATCGGAGTACAATTATTTATGATAAACATATTAATACAAAAACACCGTAACATGCGGGATAAAACTATGTATAAATTAATCTATAGTACACTTAATTTAGCTTTGTGACTTGTTTCTATCGTGTGTTGAACACCGATAAAAAGTTGTGGTTGCATGAGAATCTGGTATTTAATAATTAATTGCAATATAATCTGAAAACGGCCTGACTACTCGCGGATTTGTACCAAAAATATATGTTTAATTAGTTCTTTTAATAATTTTTAGTTTCAAAACACACGTTTCACATAACGAAATCGTTATAAATTATTATCCATGTGTTGTATTGTCATATCGAACTGTTTTCTGATAACTTATCTATGTTTGAAATGTACAGGTTATTAATTTATATTGATTAGTAACAGAGACTGCGTACCGAAATTCAATTTATATAATATTCAAATTGACCCAATGGCCAATACTCTTTTAGTATACCTCAATCATATTTATATTTTAGTGGTAGAATTCACTTTGGAAGCGCAACACATTATGTTTACCTCTATATCAGTGGTGGGTGGTGAGAGTGTGGAGAAGTTAAAACACTGAAACACGAAGCAGATAAAAAGGTTACAAATGTTAGAAAAATTAGAAGAAAAATTTAAAAAAGTTAATGTTCATAAAATGTGTAATATTAACCAGTCGAACTTGTTACCATATCTAGTATTATAAATCTGCTGCAGTTACACTTGCATTTACGTTTAGTATTTATAAGTAAGATTTGATGATGTCCACATGTTATAGGATAGTAGGAGACAATGATACATACATATTATTATTTTAAATCTGGGTTTATATTATTTTCGGTTTGTAAAAGGCTTCCTCGATGCAGAATATATTTTTATACTTGAATAAGTCCCGGTATACTATTCTACAGATTTTTTAATTCAAGTCGTTTCATGTTTTTGAATATTAGATTAGTGCTTGCTAAAAAAAATTGTTCTTAAGGTTCTCCGACACTTATTTTAGAATATAGATTCGGACACATCTCATTTGTATTATATTATTCAAACTGTTGCCGGTACATGGCGGGCCGATGAAATACCACTCCATATCGATTGCCATTTTTGTGATCACTCATAGACTGTCGATTAATAAAACATTTAATGATAATATGTATTTAATTTTATATTTAGAGTGTTAGCCCGGGACCGGTGAGAACAGATATGTTAGCAGATGTCAGGAAAATCATCACAGACCGATCTACAGTGGATACAACATTTCTCCAGGTAGAAGATGTCGCGAATGCCGTAATCACTTCTTTGGCAACGCCACCAAATGTTCTTGTAAGTAAAAATATTTGTAGACGTTTAAGAATTTGTATTGATTTATCAAATATGGTATAAATCTAGTTTAGTACTTAGCTACTCAGAAATTCTGTTTAAACACTTGCTACAATATTTGAATTGTCATATTATAGAACAAAATAAATTGACTTGATCAAACATTTACCGAATTGGGAACTTCAATCAAGAATTATTAAAAATTGTTATTTTTTTTGTAATGCACACATGATTTATTTATTACCTCAGCCATAATCGTTATAGCTATTACGGCCGGCGTTTGAAACAAATGTTTGATAATTTTTAAATAGTTGTATTTAAACAGTAAGTTGAAATAAATTGCATTATGAAATGTTTGAATAGAAACGGCAAAAAACCAAATGCATAAAAGAACCCCATACCATGTAAAATAATTTAATAAAAATTACAAAAAAAATATTTGATTAAAAATGCTAATCCTATATGTTAACAGATATTTATTTACGAGGACCGATAAAAATGTTGACCACTCCCAAAATCACCGGTTTACTTATAAACGCATATAATTCTTGTACCTATATACAATCCGGGTATTCCATCAAATATTACATACGTAGAACACCATAGACCCGCAAACCGATCGTATTTTACGACATTTATTATTCTAGTTTTAATATATAAAAGGCCATGTGCATATTTATGTTTGAATAACAATTGTGGTTACTTGGCTCAAAAGTCTACCGATTTTGACTAATACTTGAGAGCACGACAAAATAGATAGGTATACCAGAAAAAAATCCAGTTTTCATCAAGTCAGCACATCCCTGGTATGTTTTATACCGTCTCTATACTTGTAGTTCTACACGTTGGTCGTCATTGTCGTAATACGAAAGTGGAGAATCACGTGATAGACGAGACAAGTGGTCGTAACGTATCAAAACGTTGCTTACATACCCACCTATTAAGCCAGGATTAAGAGAATGTTCTTAGAGATATTAAGAAAGTTTGAATCATGTCGAATAGCCTATCCGGAATAGGTGACATTGCAATAAAAAAAAAAAAAAACTTAAAGTGCTGTATTTTAAAATTGTTAATTATATCTGGGGTGTATATTTTTCTAAAGTTTTAGTGACATTAAATCATCTAAACTTAGGTATACGAATTATCGTTTTTGGAGTTTGTACATCGGATAACTAGTGAGGTGTATAGCTACGCGTATAAATAAATTCTATTATATATTTACCTAGCAAGTAATTATCAATTATCATACATGATATTTTATATTAAATATTCTTAACAAAAAGTTTGAAAAAAATAAAAGTTCATCCGTAATATTTATGGAATAAATTTTAACAGTTAATTTTACTCCATGAATTATAACTAAAATATGTTCTCTATTTTCATAATAATAATAATTTATCCTCACGAATGAAAATATTATTATAATGTTATGCTTAATTTTTTAAACATCTATTTTCAGATAGCTGAAATGACTATTATACCAACTGGATCATTAATACAGACTCATTTACAACCCAGTTCTCAAGTCGTGGAAAATGCATTGAACTTATAAGTTATAATTCATTATGCTAATATTTGTTTTATTTGATTCGTGTTAGTATTAAGTATATTGCTTGTATTTTATTTAAAGAGTTTAAAGTTAACAACCATTTGATTAAATGGTTATTTGAAAATATACTAACGTATTTTATTAATTATTGTTTTATTGGGAGAAAGATATTTATATCTTGTTAGGAGGTCATAATATTTATGTATCAATACCATTTTTAATGAAACGTTTCAAAATCGTATAAAAAATATTTTTAAATATTTAATTCAACGTTTTTAAAAAACAATTTTACTGCAATGTAATATAGTAAATAATTTATTATTCATTCGATAGGAAAACTTATGATTAATATGTATTCAATTTTCAAATCTTAGATACTTATAAAAAAAAATTATTAACAAATTCGATTCGTGATTTTGACAAATTAGTCAAAATTATAACTTCAGACTCTCGTATTATATAACTATGGGTTCATGTTAAATTATTTTTTTTAATTTTTACAAAAAAAACTTTTGAGGAACATTGTATTACATTTTAAAGTTTTTTGATCGACCAAAAAATTATGTACCTCAATACAAAAAAAACTAATAAAACTAGAATATTTCATTTGTTTATAAATAGCTCAACATGAGTCAAAATATTTTGAAAATTATAAGTATATTCCTTCATTTTTTTAAAGTTACACAATAACTCAAATTGTTTTTATAAATTCATAAAATAAGTTGAAAATCGAAGCATTATTTCAACTACTTATCGTGTGTACATATACAAAATGTGTAACAAGTGAACTTAACTATGTAATATTAGATTTTTTCATCAGTTTTTATAATGTTACAGTTGGAGATTGCCTTAAGATCATTACCATTATTATTAGTATTATCATCGTTGATAATATTATTTATTAGAACACCTAGCTTTAACAAGAAAATAGTTGTTTCAGTTTACTCTTCTAAAAAGTTATAAGGACTTACGACGTCATTGTGACATTATTTTTTATGCTGATATTAAAACTCACCAACATTTAAATTTTCATATTTTATTCATACCAGTAGGTACCTTTTTGCACACAGCATTTGTGGTATTGCCTTTTTTGAGCTTAAATATGTATTATATACTTTGAGAACCCCTAGTTGCAGGCATGGTGCTTTTTAAGGTACGATGCCGACGGCAAGTCGTACCAAATATAATGCTTTTGCCTTTTTATCCCCTTTTTACAATTTGGGAAAATCATTTTTTAAAGGGTATTTATTACATCATAAAACGAAACAGCTGATCAAATTGCATACTCATAGCTCCCATAGTTCCGGTTAGGTGATGATGATGAATCAGTTAAGACATGTTTTTTTATACACATAATAGGTTGCTTTTATATAAGTATACATTAATGTGTACAAATACAAATAACTGCTAGATTTTTGATCGAAATAAAGTATAAATCTTTATCAATGAGAAAAGTTAGAAAAGGGATGGGCGTCTTTCAAAACCTCACACTTATCATTCAATACCACAATAATAATCCCGAAAGTTTTAAATAGTAAATGATAAGGTGATCTTATATAAATGTGTCATAGAGGAAATGTGTGTATTATTGATAAAATATAGGTATCAGTGTGTGTGGTATTGAACGGTATAATTCAAGAAAATCTATGTGGAATTGATGTATAATAGTGGGTGGTTTTGAAATACGACCCTTTTTTGAATGTGTGCGCTTATGACAACCGCCAAAAGCGACAATATTCATCTTTATTAAAGATCCTTGTCTTACGTGATGTTCCCCTAATATTTTCAACTGCAAGATGTGAGGGTTTGTTATAATATGTCACCAGAGAAAAAGGATTGCCGAAAAAAGGTCTCTGCTGGCGAATAGAAAGCCAGTTCTTGGAAGGACAAAATCTTTGATAATGCCACCTGCCGCTCTTCAATCGGAATGATCGCGTTGTCCTTTTCGTCAGTGCGTGGGCACCAATAAACTCAACAATAACATGTTTTTTGAATACCGAATCCTACGAACGACAGCTGAGATCATCTTGCTATATAACAGAACCTGTAAAACAGGTATTTATTATTAACAATCATCACAATTTATTTAGCATAGACCATGGGCGGTAGAAAAGACCAACCGCAGATAATTGCAATCCTTATAGAGTACGCCCCACGTTTTAGTCAAAACTTATTTTAATTTTTTATATTTTTAAATCAGTTATAGAGTGAAGATCAGAATTTAATTTTAAAAATAACACTTTTTCGTCAAAACTCAATAGTCATTAGCTATAACAAAAATATCAAAGTTTAGAAAATTTTACTTATAATAATTCTTATATGAAATATTTAAATATTTACACCCATTAAATGCATTATCAAAAAGATCTGAACATTTATTAAACCAAAAAAAGATTTAGTAAAATAGTTATTTAACTACGAAAAAGGAACTTAAATTACATATAAATTACTTACAATAAAATTTAATTAAATTAAATTAAAAGTAATTTGGTCACAGTAACTTGTAACTTAACTTAAGTCACCAACACTGTGTGTGTGTTTAATACATTTTTACCTACGGATACAGCTAAAAATATATGGTCACACATGTACGAGCCTTGGTAGTAAATACTAATTTGGGGGATCGACCACTACGACCGTGGGAACGAGAACATTTATCGTGAGGGACAAGAGAAGTAGAAGACTTATATAGAAGAACCCCGAACGACCCATTTTCAGAAGTGATTTTACTAAACTAGTGCGAGCACCTTCATGTCAGTCGATCTTTTAAGTTCATTATTTTGAACTTAAAATATTTCGATCAACAATATTTTGGACGAGTTAAATCACATATTTTCTAAACACTTAGATTATTTATTGATCCGAATATTTTAATATTCTTAACGTTTATAATTTTAATCTAACGATTAAGTCTTGTGAAGCATATACAATTTGCAGTGAAAAAACTATTTAAGTGTTCGTAATTATTTACAGCTTCACCGCATCCTGACCTACTATCAACGGCACCTGTACGAGCAGTAATCAGTGTGTTTTCTTATTACGTTTCGTGTATCTATTTCGAGTAGGTATTTATACGTACTTTGTGCCACCCAACCCCACTACAGAATAATATTGCATAGTCTACATGTAGGCAGCTATAAGCCAGGTAAGAAAAGCTCATATTATGTTCATATTACATACATATACATTATACATAATACATTACATATGTTAAATATATTACATATTGACATATTGTGCGGTGGATTTAATCAAATTATCGAATACATGATCTTGAACGCCCTCCGAATATCTGGAGGACGATAATTTGCGTAATTATTATTTTAATTTTGTATTTGATCTGATGACATTATCCATCACGTCTTATAAGTGTAGGGTATAACCCAGGTCATAACAAACACCTACAAGCCTTAAAGCATATATTTTGTATTCTCTTTTTTCTATACGTTATTATAATTGTACGACATATTTACATTGCTATTATTATTGCTATAATTTATTTTACTCTTAGTAATACGATAAGTTGTATACATTTTTGCCGAAAACGTTGCAAATGTCATTGTGACATTATATTTTATTTGCTTATAAAAATATAATGCCTTTATTTTATGAAGTTTTTATGTTTTTAAATAGCGACAATTACTATGACAAATCTTGTATTACATATTCAAGCTTTTAGTCCCAACGATATTTTTAGAAAAAACTTGTAGCTGAAATCCATATTTATTTATGAGTGAGTGTACTTTTGCGTACAGTTGCACTTAAATGTTTAAGTATAGGTAAAATATACTTTTCGGCCTTTTATTCTTTTCACAAGTTATAATTTAAGGCAGTCGATGGTGTGGATACTGTCGTCCCAAAACGTATAATACCTATATAATATTATCATGATAAATGAGAATCATGCCCATAAAATGTTGATTAAACTATCTTTTTTTTTATTTGGGTATTTACCTATAAATAAAATATAAACGTATTAACATTGAAATTTACTAAAACTTTGGTTACGAAATATTACAAAATGTAAGTAATGACTAACATATTATAATAATGTGTGGTTAAACCAGAGGTTCCCAAACTTTTTTGCTCCGTAAATCACTTGCCAACTTTTTCCATTTTCGTAGACCCCTAAAATTAAATTTTTACAAATTTATCTAGATGTTTTTCATAGCTTACACGGAACTGCCTACATAAGTAGGCTTTAATATGGAGTACATTTTTTTAAAATTAAAAACGTGTTGTTTGTAATAATAATAAAACCTTTATTTCTTCAATAATGACAATATTCAAATAATTTTTTTAGTAATTAAAACAATAATAAATGCAAATAAAAATTTAATAACATAAAAAAAAAAATCAAGGTTATTTTTGAAATATATATTTTTAAAGGGAAGGATGAACCTGCTGCTTTAAAAGAAGATTTTCAATATTTGGCTTCAAATTAGTCAGGTTTAAGTAGGTTTTTGTCCGGCAATGATGGAATGAAGCCAAACTTCAAATAATCAATGGTATATTGCCTACATTTCCTTTTAGAATCAGCTATAATTAATAGCAGTTAAATTATATTATATAATATATAATATATAGCTTATATATTTGTACAAAAATTAACCGATTTATGAATTAGTAAAATTTAGAAAAATGGCAAACGACGTATGATCGATAATCGGCTGTCACGAATGAAGTAAATTACTAAACGCACAGTAATGTATTATATTCCAACCATCGGCGTTGACCGATATTATGTTTATCGTACTTATTAGTTATTAGTGAAACCTAAAAATAAACGATTGAACGTGTAATATTTTGATTTTATCTTAATATTCCGATATTCACCTTCGACTCCGTTAGTCGTTATCGACAATGTTCGTTTTAACAATCGCCATCGTTCGCATCGTCACACACATATTATTAAATATATATATTATATCAATTTTTTTGTAAAAATGAATTACATGCATTTTCGACTTATAACTCTCGTGGACTCCTATTTACACATGATGCACCCCCAATTTTAATTTTCGTTAATATAGATCCCTTACAGGTCAGAATCGACCCCAGGGGACCACTTTGGGAACCTAAGGGTTAGACTATATTAGATAGTAAGTATCTACATTCTACAGAAATAAAATGCATAAGCATACAAAACATTAAATGGCAAACTAATATATTTACATATCTATAACTCATCGACTATTATACAAATAGGTTTGAGTTGGTAAAATATATTTGGGGGAGAGCTCAATCACCACTAAAAAATTTCAAAGTAGCGTTACGTCCCCCCACAACCACCTTTTACCGATTTATGTTACCTTTATTAAAAAAAACATTTAAAAACTTCAATGTTTTTAAATTTATAGTAAATTAAAACAATATCACCATGTACATTTAGAAAATGCTTCAAAATATCGAGAATCCATAAATTCTTTTGTATTAAGAAATGTATAAAATGTTCAATTTTATAACTATAAGTATCCAAAATTCCAGGTCCAAGGTTTTTTATATGAAGTTAATATTGTAACCAAAAAATGTAAAAAAATATTTTTTTTTATAGATATTTCAAGTTCAAATTTTGATGATAATAATATTATATTTTTAAACGAAGAATACCGATTTTAGTTATTTTGTTGCAATTTAAAAGTAGTCTTATAATGTAGAGTGCATTATTATAATACCAGTTATCACTATCAAAACGTTATAATGTGTTATACACATATACCTAATGCACATAAATACCGTATCCACCTACGTATTTTTATAGCATATATATTATTATTTTCATGATTACGGCAAGCACGTGACTATGCGCAGGCCACGCAGAGAAATTTTGTCGGCGGTCGAAGTGAGTAGGTAGTATGGGTAGGTAGGTACGAATGTACGATGCATAATAATATCAGTTTAGACTGTAGGAAATAATAATAATAATAATAATAATAATAATAATAAATAATAATAATAATAATAATAATAATAATAAAAACGTTTAGGTAACGCGTAATCATCGTCTCCTCAACAGGTTTAAACAGATCTTACATATTATCAACGGCAGTAAGGTTCACGCGGTGGTATCAACCGTACGGAACTCGGTTGTGAAGCGTTCACCATATTGTTAATATTATCATTTCAGGACGTACGAGTGCATTCGTCTTGACGTCTTGACGTCTAACACTTGAACTAACAATAATATCACAATAAGTAACACTATGGAACAGTGGAGAGGTAAGGTGGCCATAGTTACTGGCGCCAGTGCTGGAATCGGGGCTGCGATAGTGGTGAAGTTGGCGGAAAATGGAGTGCACGTGGTGGCGCTCGCCAGAAGAGAACACTTACTCAAGGTAAGGTATTATTTCGATTATCGACGCAAAATTTTATAAATAACAATCACACGATTCTGTAATAAAAGATATAATAAAAAGCCGATTCGCGCCAGTACGTACAAATAATTTTATTGTTAAGGAGGGCAAAACTAGAAATTTTAGCCGGCAACCCACCAACCGTCATTAATCAAGCCCACAGGGGGCCCATAGGAATCCCGTGCCCTGCGTAAATCAGCCACTAGCAGGGGGGAGGTGGGGGGGGGGGGGTGAAATATAATTAATTAAATGAAGACAAATAAAAGGGCCGAAGTGATAAAAGTAATATCTAAATATTAAATTATTAGAATACTTGAATTTATACTTGTCAGCTTACATTAGTTAAATAATTGGAAAATAAACTTCAATAATTAAACATTTTAACAGCAAGGTACATTACTAAATTTGTATTGACTTTATAGTACAATATAATAAAAACCTATTTTAATATTTGATTTGTCCTCAAGGAATTAGCCGAATCTTTAACTGACAAAAACTACGGGACTATTTATACAAAGGTATGTGACGTTACTAACGAACAAGCTGTAAAAGATGTTTTTTCGTGGGTAGATTCAACACTAGGAGGTCCCAGTATTTTAATTAACAATGCTGGGGTTTCGAAACTATCGAGCCTTTTAAGTAAATATACGTATTTAATAAAATTAGAAATTCTCGTAAGGATTTAAATATTAAATATAGTGTTTGTGATAAAGACGGAAAACTGGAGGATTGGCAAGAAATATTGAATCTCAATGTTCTGGCATTGAGCGTGTGTTCGAGAGAAGCTTATAAATCGATGACGAAAAATAAAATCGATGGGCACATCATTCAAATAAATAGGTAATTTACGACATATAATTATGTTTAACGTTGGACAAAAAATGTAAATAAAATGAGACACGCTGATTAATATATGTAAGTCATTATTTTTAGTATCTCCGGTCACAGCTCAACTCCGAATTTTGCGTACAAAATGTATAACGCTTCAAAGCAAGCAGTGACGACACTGTGTGACGGACTTCGACACGAATTACAATTAACTGGATCAAAAATCAAAGTTTCGGTAAAGTAGAATACAATTTATTTTATTTTAAATAATATAAAACGTATTTCACTATTATATGTGCGAGGGTTACTCTTACCTAACAAATATATTTTAACTAGTTGTATTATTTATTATTATCTATTTATAAGAATTCATGATTTTAAATTTAAATGAATATTAAAAAAAAATTATAACGTAGCCAATTCATAGACTGATATACAGACGCGCAGGGGTTTTGTGAATACTACTAAGTAGAATAATTTTAAATAATCGTTAGCTCCGGTTAGCTAAAAAACGTCTTTTTTTATTATAGTTATAATCGTCATCTGCAGCAATAATAATATGATGGCCGTCTTTGATACCTACCTTTTTTTAAGTTAAAATGTTGATGAAATTCTATATTTAAAGAACACTACTAAATTGAATGGGCTCAGCACAGTCTATTTTAACATTAATTTATTTATGTATGAACGCCACATAGTTATAAAGTCACATTGATTTGAAATATTCTAAACCTTATTTCCTTGATACATCTTCGATCGATTAGTCTTTCATAGTTTTATATTTAAACTAAACGGAAAATAAGATTTAAAAATCGCACCTTGATTATATCTAGTTGGTTTACCAAACCTATTTGATTGGAGATCCAAACACTAGATTTTGGCGTACCGGGGCACAATAGTGTACTTTTAATATGTGCCATATTTGAATTTACTATTTATCATTCTTATTATTATTGTGAGCACTTTCTATAAATGTTTTCAACATAACTTTTCAATGACAGATTTTAACAGAAAAAACTACATCGGGATCCACCAGTCCACACCATATACGTTCGAAACGTGTATTTAGGGGCGCGTTGAAAACAGATGTGTTTTACCGGATTGTCGTTTGTGAAACCATATGTTTTTATTCCGTTTTTGTCTATACCAGCAAGAAATGTGTTGAAAGCGGATAATTTAAGTCATTTAAAAATAATAATAATATTATGTTTCTGTGTAGAAACCGGTATCCGTTTTCAACGCAACATGTTGCGATGGGATCCGGTAGACGGACGACGGAACGTTGTGTATCAGACTGCGTGACTGGGGTGTGACTGTAATGTAACTACTTAGTACTTTGTACTTAATAATGTTTTATTATATAATATCCGAAATCGAGACTTTTGTCTTTTAGAAGAATATTCTTATTTCTCTTAAAATAAAAATAATTTATAGGTATGTTGTAAATACGAATTTAACATGTTTCTGAATTTAGTTAAACGTTTATAACTGTCAGCTGACTGCTGCATTCATACATAAATATTAATACACCACGTTTTTACATTTATACTGTTGTCTAGTTATACCTAATACTTAAATGATAAGCGAAATAATTTTATTTTTTTGTTTAATCGTAAAAACATTTAAAAAAATAAGTGCATAAAAATAATTTATTGAAGGAATGAAAATAAGCCGAGTTGGAACAATTTATGGAAATATAATTTAGTAATCACTAAATCGAGATAATTTATACGACGAATTGATTATATCGAATTTGTTATCATCTATAAAACATTAATTGTATTTATCGTGTTGAATATATATATATATTTAATTTATATTTAATGTACCTTTATAATATACTCAAACGATTCACTGATATCACATACTCACATACATGAATACATTCATAATGAAATTAATTAGTATTTAGTATATACATTTCGATATTCTGTTACACGCCGTCGATTGTAATATCAAGGTACGTCTTTTAATTTAATATTATATGATACAATAACTAATACGCAACCGGGAAACTAAATTCTCGTAGTTTACTCACCATTATTGTAATACACTCAGGCCGTGTATTTAATTTCTACAAATTAGGATACATATATATATATTTATGTATATTAGGACTAATAACATACAATTTACTGATTCAATCTGTTGGGTATAACTGCAGCCGTATAGAATATACAGCCGCGTTTAAGTGTGTCTTAGGTGGAGATAAGGTTAAATATTTGAGAAGGAGGGAGCTTAAGTGTTTAACTTACACCCCCCCACCTGTCTCATCGTTATAATATTTTACTTTTATTCATAGTAATTATTGCTATGGTTTAATTTACCGTCTACCTTAAATTATGATGTAGTTCGCGTTAAAACTAATGAACAATTGTAAATTTTGAATCATAAACACATACTTAAGTCCTAAAAGCTCTATTATTATACTTAAATCCCAAATCAGCGCCTATAAAGTGTCATATATTCTATAGTTATTTCATTTGGGATAAAATGTATTTGTTTACGGAAGGATCAATAATGGCTAATGGGCGAAGGTAAATAAGGGTCGACAATAAAATATCGATGAACAGTGAAAAAAAGAAGAAACCAACATTATGAAAAATGATTGATGTATAAAAAAATAAATACAATACTGATACTGATTCAACTTGCGAGATAAATTGAGTAATATTGATCTTATACTACTAACTAATACAGTTAGGCAGTAAGTATACAATATCTACATTACAGCAAAAGTGTAAAACACAAATTTACAAATTAATTATTAGGAGTTGTTATTTGCTGTATACATCCGTTCGAGTTTATTGGTTTTACGGTTTGTTAATACTTCTTTGAGCTAACTAACCTGCATATACATTATTTCCTGATTCGTGTCGGGATAGTGAGTTCTCTGATAACTTATTCTAATAAATGTCTCATGACATTGATTTTGGAATAGTGAGGATATCGAAACACATCGTTTTCGACTTTTTGTATTATAATATTAGAACTTTGAAATACCATCAAATATCGATAGGCTGATTACTTTTGAGCTCTAATAAATACCACACTTTAATAATAATAATAATATCGTTTAAAATATTTTGAAATTTAGAGTGTTAGTCCAGGACCAACAGCAACAGATATGTTATCAAATATCATCAAATATGCCAAAGATATAACAACTTCAGCGGATTTTAAAATCCTCGATGCAGAAGACGTTGCGAATGGTGTAATCGCCTCTTTGGCAACGCCGCCAAATGTTCTTGTAAGTAAAAATATATGTAGATTACTCCACAATATTTTTGATAACACATCTAACTTTAGGAGTATTCTTACTTTTTTTCTCTAAAGATTTTAGAAAGACTTATCCCCTTATTCTTATTCATACCACTAATGACCTACGAATAACTATATTGTATGACACAACAGCCCCTTTGTGTAATCAATGTTTTCACGAAAAGTGGTATACTTCATGAAAACATGTTACAGGTGATTATAAAAATACAAATGTCACAAAGATAATAATTTAAACAGAAATCGGTATATTATGACATGTAATTTTTGTTATAGATTAGCAATGCCGTAATTTTAGAGTTAAATATTATTGACTGCTTTACAATAATTTTGTTTCGAAATTCGATAAACGGCCTTCGCCCTATGCACGTTGATATGTACAAAGTAAGGATTGAACTTACTCAACATGCTGTTATTAAATAACAGTTCAATAATTCTGGAAATATTACCACTTCGAATTGTATGCCTTTTAAACAAGTAGAGAAACAAAATATATTAACATTGCGGAAAACTGTCAAAGTTGTATCAGCGGGTCAGGGGTTCCTAGGCTATTCATGGAAAAGTGCATGTCAATCCAAATTAAAAGTTGCATGAAATGTTACAACTGTTGTCAAAACTCACCCGTGTGCTTAAATATATTAAAATCAAAACAGATTACTATAAACTTATATCAATTATATCATATTTTTACTTTTTTTAAAAAATGTTTGAAAACAAACCATCATTGAATTATTGTATTTATATGAGTATCTTTATTTTTTAACCATTTAACTATAAACTATAATAAATAAAACTACATGTTTATCTATAAGATCTTGAATGGTTTTAAATATTTCATTAATTTATGTTAGTCATATAGTATACTTATAGTTTATAAATTGTGATTTATAAATAATAATAATTGTTCTTGGTAAATGTTTAATTTCAGTACACAACGCAAATAACCGCATTGTAAAAAAAAACTACAACATGTGAAATTTGATTACCCATTTCATAAAAAATTATCATTCTATAAAATATTTTCTCATTTTACGAAATGTGAAAAAGTTATTCTTGTTTCATAAAATGTAAAACTCTTCGTGAAAATATCGATCTCACAAAGCTGCAACGAGATATTACGAGTATATAATACATCCCAGCTTTTCTTTTAGATATCAGTAATACACTGATACACGTAGGTACGCGGATTACTGACCAAACAGATATTTCTTAGAAAATGTATTATAAAAGTTCTATTATATTCAATATATACCTACCATCTACATGCTACAGGACATTATAAGTTATAACATTATGTTTGATTTCTCAAATGCTTATTTTTCAGATCGCTGAAATGACTATCATACCGACTGGATTCACAGTACAGATGCATTTCCAACCGAGTTCTCAAGTCGTGGAAAATTCATTAAGCTCATAGTTTATTATGCCAATGTTTGTTTCTCGTTAACTGGGAGAATCATTATAAAATATACCAACATATTATTATTTTAATGAGAGAAACATTTACTACATCAAGTTTTAAAACGATCAATATGATATGTATAATATATTATATAAATATGAAAATAATTGTCACATATAAGGATGGGTAATATTGAAGATACAATATGTACCACTCTCTCCCCCCTAGTTCGACCACACTAAGTCAATGTCTTGGATAGAGAAGAAAGTTATTTAAAAAAAAAAGTGGATGCTTATGTTTTTAACTTATAATTTTGTGTTTGAACTTATTACATAAGTTATAAGTTACTGGATTTTCTAATAAATCATCAAAATCAACATTGAAATATTGAATGAGTTGATTTTAATAATTATGGAACTATAATTGACTTAAATAAATTCAGAAAATAAATTGTGATAAGCATTTTTTATTTTGATGTTTAAAATTTAAAACTTTTTATTTAAACTTTAAATAAAACGTTTTCATACAGCCACTTGTTTACTTATTAAAAAAACTCGAAATTATTGAATTTTTGATGTATTAAGTATCAAGCATTTTGCATTAAGTTAGTGAAACTTAAAGCATCGAGTATCTTTTATCTACTACTTCGCTACTGCAAAGACCAATCTATTATCTTTGTTTCAAATAATGTGATACTTATTTTTAAGTATTTTGCCTATCCCTGGACACATATTACAATCACCGAGGGATCAATCGAAACTACTGTTTTGTGTGATGTAATGTGATTTACATATAAGATATACAGCAAAATCAAATTGTTAGTATCTATCGACATAAATAGTCATAATTCGAAGCAATAAATAATATAATCTATAGTTTATATACTGTTTATAGTATACTTTACAGCAAGGTGGTATTCAGTGGCGTACCTATTTTCAATTATTAAAATATTTTCTATGCAAGCAAAATTAATACCTAAATTAAAACAATTTTTTGTCGATCTGCAAGTCCAACATGGGTGACAAAAAAATAGTAGGTAGTCACCGAAATGAGTTGCAAGTTCAAAATGGTTGAAAATCATTACTTCAGTGACAAATCGCATAGTGTTGGAGCGTTACAAAGAAACATAAAAAGAAAAATTGCTAGGATTTTTGTAAATGTTTATTTCTTAACATCCAACAGACTGTACACTATTACACTAATGACTAATTAAAATTTCTCCGGGTCTTATACTACCCCCCTAGAGGCTACCAACTACCTTACCGCCCACTTTGAGAAAGACTGCTTTAGTTCTATGCAGTATACCTATATACGAGTGATGTTTCTTTATTATGGCGGTGTGAAGAGGTGAAGAGCGTCTTACGACTGTGAACAGACAATCAATTTCAGAAAGTTTTACTAGCAGCCACCTTAATGAGCGCGTATATTGGCCACGGTGTAATATTAACATTAATGACATATTACAGCGAGTAAAACAAACTTATTATTACTGTTTTCACATAATAATAATATGACGTGAAATATAATACGCAGGTACTACATATTATATTATGTACAGTGTACACCCACTGGTTTGTTTGGATCAACAACAGAAAGCCACAGCCATATTTCGGGCTAATATTAGACCCCCGGCGGAGATCGTAAATTGAACATGTTAAAAAAAGCAGCTTTATTTTCCCAAACATTGTATGCTATATTTAATAGGTGTTTATGATAGGTAGCTTGCGTTTGATGTACGAGTCACAACTATACTGCATGTATTGTATATATATAATTAAACTTATAGCGCACTCCACCGAAATACATAATTTCAACAGTATACTTGTAAATTGATTGTATATATGTATATCCTGATAATTCGTGCATCCCACCCTCCATCAATTTTCCACCCCCGGGTGACTGGATAAAAGTTTGCTATATCCCCCTTGAGCACGCTTTTGCTAATGTATATATATATACGCATATATTGTACATAATATAGTATATATACTTATTACTTACCTATGTAGAGTAAGTTGTAGAACATTTTGAAGGTATTTGTTTTTAATGATTTTATCGCTGTAAGGGTTAGTTGTCATAATTACTATAGTTGCTGCAGCTGTAATATTACATAATTATATCTTTGAGTATAGGTTATATTTGTGATTTTTATATACATACTATGTTTACGTTTATGCAGTGATGCATGAAAATATGAAATGCTGTTCAATTTTTTTTTTTTTTTTTTGATACCATGAAAATAAAATGCAAAACTCCAATCAAATATAAAAAATACGTGTTCGTCTTATATGGATGTATTCGTCTGAGTAAATCAAAATAAATATTTTCAAACACAAATAAAAATTTTAAAATCGGATTTAATTAAAATAATATGGATAAAATCAAGAATATATCAGAGTTTAGATTATCAATTAAGAATTGTTGAGTTATTTATTACGATACCAAGCAGTTAGGCTGTAAAGTATAAGTTATATTCTTATTAGAAAATAAAAAAATAATGTGATCATATTTCAAATACCTATAATATCGATATAGGTATTCAAATTAAAAAAAATGATCAAATACTTTTAGTCATATACTTCGTGCTAACTATATGAGTTACATACCTCTTTAATTTGCATAACCTGTTAAAGTTTTATTTTATTTTTATAATATTTTATATGTTGTATGTATAAAAATCAATTTAAATAGGTACCGGACCGTAATTTTTAACCATTCTTTATTTTTATTATTTCAGTGTATTGAACGTATACCTATAAAAAATATTATTTTATAAGCTGTTTTTACAAATTACATTTAAGTACCCTCATTTTTTTTTGAAATTTAAAATCTATTAAGAAACTTTTCCTCGTTATTTATTTAAAGTTTTTGTGCACATTTTTCCAGAAAATTTTATGTTCAAAGTTTTAAGTTTCTATAATTTTACTACTTATAAGTTTAACAGCTATAATCGCTTAAGTTTAATATAATATATAGAAATGGAGTGGTGATATAAATAATATGTAATTTATTAAACGTAAAGTTGTATTTTCTCCATTTTGATCTTATTAAAATTAATTTATTATGATAAATTATATTTTGTTTCTACACCTAAGTGGCTAAGCATATTATAATATATTTATATACTATCTCTATAAAGCCTTATTAGGATGTAATTTTGTGTGTTTCGGACGGTCCATATAAAAAAAATTCTTTATTTACTGTTTAAAACTCGGTAAAAGATTAAACAATTTCAAAGCAGAGGTTGCTGAATGATAAAAACTAATCTAATTTTGGTTTTTACCACATAAGCGAAAATCATTGCTCGTAGAATTTTAAATATTTAGAGGCATTATTTTATATGCCATAATGATATTATTTTTAACGCGATAGGTACCGACGGATAAATAATTGTACTTTTACTAATAAACGACCCGGATGACATTGCAAAACGTTGGGTTAAAATTCACCTAGAATAGAAACATAGATAATAGATGTATCCTGCTTATGCTATTCATTAATTGATAGATGTTCATTTAAGTCACAGCTCAAAATTAATCGATGATAGATTTGTACTTGTGTAGTATGTAACTACCGTTCAAGTTATATCCGATCTTAAATGTCTCCTATTTCGAGAAATACCTGCATTCTCAACTGTTTGAGAAATCAAATATAAAATTCTGACTTTGTTCGCCATCCCCCATCTTCAATCAAAAAGGAATATTGTCAACAGCCGGTTATATTTACTACACCGATATATAAAATGAAAGCTCTCAATATATACGGAACTCTATACGTAGAAATCATTGGTATTGTACAAATACTCCTGTTTTTTCATAAATTTTTTTCTTTGTTTATCCCATTTATCTCGTATAGTACAGGGGAAATTACCTTCTAAAATAAAAAACAAGATCCAATTTGCTACCGAAAACCTCCCTTAAAGATGAAGATTGGGACATTTCTTCTACTAGGTATACAAAAAGTATCACAGACCCAGACACAAAAAAAAACCGAACACTTTATCGCAAAACCAATAATACACGCAACGCTACGCTCAGAATCTCAAATGTAAATTCTTTTCAATTTCTTTTAATAACTTGTTTCGCTTAACTCAATTTTGTTTCAAATGAATTCATTTTTATTTTCTCGTAATCCCTATACTATACTTACACAAAATAATAAAATGGCCATAATCTATAAAGTGAAAAAAAAAAAACACTTGATTAATGTACTATAATGTAGGCAGTTCAAATAATTCTTGAAAGTGCTTCTGATATTTTCGCTCGGAACTCAGAACACTTCTTACTTCTCAGAATATTTCTAGGTTTATTATAAATAATACGTCTTAGTTTAAACCAAACACGAAATATTGTGAGTACTTAACTCAATAAGATAATGACATTTAAGAGCCTTATAAGCTAGTATAAGTAATAGTAATTAGTGTATGACCACATGGAATAGGTAATTTCAGGTAATCATGATTTACAATATAGTTTTCAAAATTGTTTTTTTGTATACTCCTTTATTTATGGTTATCATGAAATCAACAACTTTTTTACAAAACAGTAATATATATTTAATAACATTAGCTTATAAATACTTAGGTAAATATAAGTATCATATATGTTGTACAATAATACAATATACACTCATAATAATATATACCCGTTTACAATATAATAATTTATCAATGGAAATGTACTATTATTTAAAGTAGTACCATCAATTAATACTTTACAAGTATTTAAGCAAATCGAATTTTTAATAATATATTAAAGGTTCATTTTGTGTCAGTGTGATGTATATGAACCGTGTATTACCTCTTTTCTACCGAGTATCATCAGAATTTCTGAATTTTTTTAACGTTTTGTTTCTAACATTCGTTATGATTTTCATTTATAACACATTAACTTAACTAAGATCATAATATTTTACTATTTATTATATTATACTATACCTTAACATTGTGATAATATTATTAGCACAAGTTATTTACATTATGATGATTTAAGAATTTCAACAACTTAACTACCTATAAGTAATATCATAAACTTACATTTTTAGTATAGATACCTATACATTTTAATAAGTACATTTTTAATAATTTAACGTATACCTAGGTAGTTTAAATTTTCTTTTTTAATTATCTATAAATAGTTCATATTCTACAAAATAACGATATCACTTGGGCACATACGTATTTTAATTAAATAGAAAAACATTTTAAAAGTGATACATTTTATTATTTCTATAATTCTATGTACATATAATATATCAGCTATTATGATGTACGAATTTAATTAAAAATTAAACACTAGAATAATTAGGTCCCTTAAATTAACCCTGAATAATTGTGTAATTTTTGTTTTAATTTGTTTTCCTATAAATATTGTACATATTTTATATTTTTGTAAAATGTTTTTATTTCAGATGTCAATATGTCATTGTTTATTTTTGGCGTAAATTGAGTGGAAATAAATGCAATACGCAGGTGTGTATTTTGCATGAATAACAAACATAAATCAATAATTATACCTAATGTTCAATGATATGAAAATAACCAGCAATTATAGGTGTTATTTTCATATTGACTTACTATATTGTTTTACATACAACGTTTTAATTTGAACTTTCAAACAATACAAATAATATAATAGCCGTGCTTAAATATTATTAATAAATTATTTCACTCGAGCAATCACAGACGATTCATTGTTATTTTAATATCATCATCGTTTGATGAAATCTTTTTTGATTTTCGCTACAGGTAACCTGTACTTTGCCATAGGTCATTTTCCTCTCATTTTATTGATGCGTTTTACGTTGACGCTTTTCTTGAAAAGACTATCCTGTGAGACAAAAAATATTTATTTACCTAGTACTTTACTTACTTAACTATTTAAATCTTGTTTTTCTATATAAAATTACTTTACCTTCAACAGTTGAATTTTGCCATTCAAAGATGACCTGGTTCCAATATGTTGAAAAAGAGACGGTCTGAATGTCACCCATATTTCGTCTTTTCGTTTTCGACAATCTCTCTAAAAACAATATTCATTAATAAAATTAGCAAAATAGCTTAAGCACCGTTAATAATAATGAGCTTGAATTTTGTTTTATACGGTTCAAAAATTAAGTTTTTAAATTTTAATGGAAAAATAATTCGCAGCATTTGTAAGTAATACCTATAATAATGACCTATATATTATAGGACAACTAAATAAACCAATTTCAAGCAAAGTTCAATTTGAAATGGCGTTTATATATGTGGCATTTTTTTTTAGAACGTTAATTCTTATGATATATGTGCCTACCATAAACAGTTTACTCACAAGATCTTTTTCAAGATTACAAGCTTTTGTCTCCATCATTCCGTCTAGAAGCCAGTCCCCCGGCTTATCGTTATAAAACATCACGATGAATTGTATCAGCCACGGTAAATCTGAACATCTCATCATCTTGCCTAAATTGAAATATACATTGTACATTTGTACCACTAGTGATGTTACTTTCTAACTGAAATAGATTTTACCGATAAAACCTAGTCGACAGAAGTCTAGTATGAACCACTCTTGTCCTTCGGCTATCCTCTGCAAAGCCGTTTTTTTCATAATAGTGTGGAATTGCGGCTTGGCGACTACATCGTCTTCCAGTTGGACATAAAACGATCCTTTCGGTTGGCAGTACATCATTAAGAAAACATAATCTAAATTTTGTTTGCTCCTCCAGCGGACTCGGTCTTCGGAGTCGCCGAGTGTAATGCGAAGCTTGCTGAAATCTGGATAGTATTCCGGGGACGGAGCAATTATGTCTATGAGACCCGAGTTCACTGCTTCCGGTAGCCTGAAGTCAAACATTCGACAATAATAATGTACATTTCTTGATTTCTAATCGGCGTCCTTAGTAATGGAAATAATAAAATTACCTATTTCTGATTTCCGCAGTAACTTGTTGCGTGTATTCTTGATCGATCTGTAACAATTAAAACACGTCCGACACAAACATTAATCTACATGTAACATATTTTATATTGAGTAATCACAAGTATACATTACTTCGCCAATCATCACTACTATTAACGAATCTTTCTGTTCAGTTTGATTCATGTTGCTTATTATGTTAATCAATGTCTGTATCAAGTAAGTCTGTTGTTGGCGACGAACAGTAGGAACTCCAAACACCATTGACACTAAAAGAAAACACATTTTAAAACTATACACTTTTTGAGTTTGATTGAATTGCGGTGAGAGAAGGGGGGAGAAAATCTTTTCTGATACTGGTTTAGGCGTTAAACTAAGTTTCGATTCCTTACAAAAAGTGTATATATATAGTTAATACATTCGTTTTATCAATGGGATACTTTTCAATACTACGCTGGATAAATATATTTCTATAAAATCTACAGTTCGTTGAATAAAATACCGACAATATCGGGACATGTTTATTTACGAGCCACGTGCTCCCGTAAAAAATTATCTGGGCTTAATTTTAAATTAAATTTTACTATAAATTGGCTAAGTTGTAGTTATAAACTATATTTGTAATTATAATTTGGACGCTAAAAATAAAAATTTATACTATGTATAATATTGTTAACGAAATTCATACAAGGTAAGAATACTATAATATAATTAATCATTTAATCCTAGACAATTATTTTAAGAGTACAACTTGGTATTTTAGTTCATTTCGGTATTTTACTAACGGGCAATTTATACACACTGTACATTGAAATAAATAATAATAAAATATAATTTTTTAATTTTCTTTTACAATTAACAACTACTCGTTCGGTCTCAAATTTTAAAGGAAATGCTCCTTTTTATTTATTTAAGATAGAATTCTTATTATTATACATAAATTCGTTTCACGTCAATCTCATTCTAAATAAACGAATTTATTTTTGCTTTTTTTGAATTTTTTTTGTGTAAATGCTGTTTTTGCTTTTTTATTACTTTTTTCAGTTATTCTAAATGTGGAATTTTTATGTCTGTTATGCTATAAAAATAAAAAAAATGTTTATTTTCTAATAAGAAATGTGAAAACCCGCAATAATGACCGTGATCGTACCATTAGTGTGAAACGACCTTAAACGTATAGATTATCGGTCTACAGATAGCTTATGGGTCGATAGCTTATCGGCTATTTCATATAGGTAGTCTGCAGAACTTACTCTCAGTACTCGTATAACATCGATATCGACCAGTTCAAAATTTAAGTGTTGTAGTTCTTTATAGTGTTGTAATGTATTAAAATGCCAAAAGTTAAAACAAATCCATTTTTAAAAAATTAGTGTTAGAATTTGGTGAAGAATTTGTTCAAACAGATGGATCGATTTTATATTGCAAACTTTGTGAAACAAAATTGTTACATGAAAAAAAATATAATATACGACAGCATGTACGGAAGGAAAAACACGTTCAAGCAGCTGTTAAAAGACACGAAAAAATGAAAAGTCTGCATTACTTCAACCATTTTTACAACAGTTTAGAAGTCAGTCAGATTTTAATGCCGATTTATGTTCAACATTGGTAGCTGCTAATATTTCAATAAATAAACTAAATAATAAACATTTTCGCGAAATGTTTAACAAAATATTGCAAAAAAACTATTCCTGACGAGTCGACATTACGTAAAGGATATTTTAATTCATACTATGAAAATATACTGGCAAAAGATACAATAAAAGATCAAAGAATATGGGTGTCTATTGATAAGACTACGGACTCGGTACGTCGTAATGTTACAAATGTAATAGTGGGCACGTTACAACCACAAAATACAGGTAATGTGTTCGTTATTCACACAGAATACTTGGATAAAGTTAATCATAGTACAATTTGTCCGACTATTCTAAATAAAGCTATGCATATTTTGTGGGGAAATGGTGTAAAACATAACGATGTTATGCTATTTGTCTCAGATGCGGCACCTTATATATATATGAAAAAAGCTGGTGATTGTATAAAAGCGCTTTACTCAAAACTCATACATGTAACTTGCTTGGCACATGCGTTACACAATGTTTGCGAAGAAGTACGTGCACACTACTAAGATCAGTTCATTGGAGGAATGAGAAAAAAAACGTTTTTAAAATGTCCCAAACGTACCGCAATCTTTAATGAGAAATGCCCAGAACTACTAAATCCACCAAGACCAATAACGACCAGATGGGGTACATGGTTCAAAGCTCTCCAGTATCATTGCTAACATTTTGATGAATGAAAAAGTGTAATTGAAGACTTCGAAGAAGAATCTCAATGTGTTAAAGTAGTGAAGCAACTATTTCAAAATGTATCTCTTCAATCAAATATCGTGTATATTTCAACCAACTTCGGATTTCTACCAGATCTTATAACAACATTAGAGAGAAAAGGTAACTTTTAACAAAGTATTTAAACAATTTAACATCATAATACTTTAAACTATATATGTATAATTTTAGTCGAATCGTTGACAATATGTATAAATATTGTGTTAGATGCAGAAAAGAAGTTAAATGAAGCTAATGGAGATAATATTGGAACTGCAATTTCGGGTAAACTAAATCGTGTTCTTCTGAAAAACAAAGGCTGGAAACAATTATACTGGACATTAATACTATACTGTGTGTCTGTGTGGCGTTTCATCAAACGAAATTAACTATCATGGGTTTGATTTAAACGAAACCCTCTATAAAAACATACTCTCAGACAATAGAGTCAGTTTTCATTCTGAAAATCTTGCCAAATACATGGTAGTAAATTCTTTTTTTAAATTTAATTAATTTTTAAATTTTTTTTATTCAGGTTTATAAAATTATAACTAATTCATGTTAATTTTTAGTCTTGCTTTTTTTTTTTGATTTTTTAAAGAATAAATATGCTTCATTTTTGCTTTTTTTAAACAATTTTGTGCTTTTTTTGTTATTTATTATGCTTTAAAATCCGAGCCCTAACAACTACTAACATAATTGTTTAGGTGATAAAATTAATTATTTATTATGTACCTACCAAAGTTCTTCCTACCTATTAGAAATAAAAACAAAGATACATGTATCATTAAGCCCAGATAATTAATATACTACTTCAAAATTGCCCAGGCGTTTTATAAAATTCCTAATTTTTTACCATGCCGTTTACATATTGTTGACCTATATATCATTTATTTTTGCTGCTTTATATAATATAATTATAACTAATATTGTTTATCTGTACACCGTTCTTATTGGTCCCTCGTGTGAAATTAAATGAGTAAATAACCTGCATTTCTGCCTCCGGAATGTAATATCAAAGGCCTTAAATAATTCTCGTGGGACCGCAGATGGGGTAGGAATGTGTACACGTCGAAATGTGCCATCGGTGACCTGACCATTTCCACGGACTTGTTGTAAGCAGCCATTAATGATTCAATGTCCTCAGAAACGGAAACGTTCAGTGACTTCACGATCGTTTTGAGAACAGAGCTGAAATGCTTTATTAGTTCCTGGACGTCTTTGTCTTTCAGCTCATACAATCTGGTTAAGTGATCCACGCGCATTTCCATTTCCGCCATCTTATACGTCACCGAACTGTGATCGTATAAATCTCTGGTATCTGTAACATTAAAGCGATTACTTATATCGATGGCGAAGTCAAATAAAAAAAAAAATCATAAATTAGTTAGTATGACGTGAGTGTTCAAATGATCTTTTAAATCGCTATCTCAGTGACAATCGCCTCAACAACGACGTACATTTTGTGATTTTACTTTTTATGCATCGTAAACGTTTCACGACGAGACGCAAAAATCAAATTTATTAATGCACAGATTTCTGTATTTTGTAGGTGCGTATAAAATACGTGTAATATAATATATCATATAATATGTTTAATGTGTACATGTAATCATGTATGTTACCTATGTAAAAGTTTAATAAGAGTTTGAAAAACTAATTCAATTAAAATAATATGACTTTTATGTAAATGTAAGTTTTTACAGATTTGTACTTTATAAGGCACAATAGTAAAACGCTTTTCTACCCAACTTTACAACCTTAAAGTTTAAAGTTTAAATATACATTTATGAATAATCAACGAAAATCACAATAATTTTCACTTTTAAAAATATTTTAATAAATTGAAATTTTAAGATTTCTAAAACGTTTAAGAAATGAAAAACTAAACGTTTTAATTTTTTCTATTTTAAGTTGAGATATGAAAAAAAATTCTATAAATTAAAATGATTTAATTGCCAATAGCACTCTTACGCTGAAGTATAATTGTTGTACAAAATACATTTTTTTAAATATTAATGAGAAAAAAGTTATTGACGGTGACAAAGACGGTTAGACACTTTATGTACAGTACCTACGTATATTATTATTTATAATGTACATATATTATTGTACATGTATAAAGTTTAAGCCAAAACACACTTCAAATTTATTTTGAGCTTTCCGGGCAAACTGATAAAAAAAGTGTGATTATTTTGTGTTTCGACTTGTTATATAAGACCTACTATAAATATATAATATTAATGATGATGTTATTTTACTCGAGAGGCTCTTCTAAAAGCGTCGATCAAGTCGGAATTACTATTATATACTACTTATGGCCCATATACCATATTACAATTTATACTTGATCTGATTTTTTACTTAATTTATATTATGACGTCAAACGTGAGATACTTCGAAATATTTTGGTTCATTACACGCAGTATTAATATAAATTCAGCAAAGAATAAATTAATATTATATTATTTTTCTCCTTTATGACAATTTTGCATAATTCATATTTTTATCAACGTAAATTGATTCACGTATACATTTTTTTTGATATTAAGTAATACGACTCAGATTTTTTAAGAAATCAAATCATGTCCCTTGAATCTTGTGGATTCGGTTCTTTAGAGCTCGGCAAATTTGTTCGGAGATATAGAATCGGTGTCGGAAAGTTATTTTTGACGTTCGGTGATGACGTGGTTGACCTTTAATGGAACACCACATGTGTCACATAATGGAGGTTCATCTGGACTCATCAAGAAGCTGTGTGTTAGGTGAGTGTGTCCAATTCGGAGTCTGTAAATATTATGGTCTCTTTTTTTCTATTAAGTTAGGGATTTTGCAATAGGTTGATATTGTTTTTTTTATTTTGTTCGGCTTGGTGTTAAGACTTCACCAATGGGAGCTCCCATTTATTATTTATGTGGGGTATAATTTCGTTCTCCGCGCCGGAGTATGTATTAATTTTAAGTACAAAATTAATTTTAAATTGATTTATTTCTATAAATAAATGCATATATCACCAGGATATTTCACCCAAATTATCCAGAAACCGTACCGTTACACCCTTAAAAATCCTTCACCTGAAACCCATAAAACCCTAATTTTTTTTTTCGATACATCCGATTTGACCGAAATCCGAATAAATAATTTTGGTTAACCCGAAACCCAATTAATTAATTATTTTACAAATTTAATTTGATATTATGTAATTTTGAATGTATTGTTGAGGTTAATTCTATTTTGATATTAATACTGATTTATTGAGATTAATTTTGAAATCATTTAGTATTAATTGGGTATTAAATATTTCTCATTATCCACATATTATAACATCTACGCATTATATATTTCGTTTCATTATTCAGTAGTACCAATCGTCTGTTGACTATCAGTAATATTTTATGAAATTAAATAACATTCTGGGGAATATCCTATGGTCTAAAATATTTGGTAGGTACCTACATACATATTGTAGTTTTCAAAATACGTTTTTCCCGAACTATACTAACATCCGTATTAACAAAATATTGATCCGTATAATAACATTTATGAGCCCCCAGACGTTAGTTTAAATTTCTTATTCCGGTGTCTGAACATGCGAATACATCCTGTCCTGTACCTGCAACCCGCAAACCAAATAGAAGCCTTGCATATAACCTATAAATGCAGTCTATTTTATATACAAATATACAAAGTGATTCACCGAACTAACTGCTCACCTCGTTTTTTAAATTTTTTCATTTAATAATGGAATTTTAACTGTACTTATTTTACGTTCTGAGCGTAGCGAAGATTGTATTGACATTACAGTAATGCGTGTTTTAATTTTTTAATTATTTTGTGTCTGTCATCACCTTTTGAGACAGTAAAAACGCTTCAATTTTATATTTAGCAACACCTTTTTTGGTAAAAAAGTAAATCTAGTTAGTACCTTGGGGAGGATGGTGCGGTTAAAAATGAAAATTCCCAATAGTTTTCAAAAACTTCGAGAAAAACCAACAAAAAAAAAAAAGAAAAGAAAAATGAGATTTTTTTACTCAAAACAGTGTTTGATTTTTTGTTGAAACTCTAAAAAAATAACTGTATATAAAATATATTTACACAGAAGGTTTATATTAGAATTTTATATTCGCCGTCAAAATATTTTGACTGTTTCTGAGCTATTAATAGTTATAAGAACATTGTGATTTTTATTAGTTTTTTTTTTAAATTATCATTGTTAAGAAAATTTTAATTTTAATACAATGTTCCTCGTCGAAATAAAAAAAAGTTGAGTGTAAATCAACAGTTATTTGCTATCAACATTTGAAGTTAGAATTTTGACAATATTCGTCAAAATCATGAAAATTATCAAATTATTATGAGTTAAAGTTTATAAAAATGTTTCTATTATATAATAGACTATTCATAAGGTTTTCTCGAAAAGCTTTAAAATGAACATTAAACTCATTATGGATTTATTTAAATTTTACGCGAGCAAACAGCAATATCAGCGTTCATATTATTATTATGGTACACATAATAGAAACAAATCCAGGCTATTGATTACTGCTTAGTGCTTACATATTCTTATAATTAGTGAAAATCAGTATTTTTTTTTTTTTTTTGTATATAAATGGTTGCCATTGGTTACTCGAACAGATGATGTAAAATCATGAATCAAATCGTCACGTTTATATGGTTTCGAATAAAGAAATATATCTTAAAACAAATATGAGAGTTAAATGTATGTTTGTAGTTTATATAGGTACTCTATCCAATCCGCCACAGACGAATTGTCCATCTTGGTCATTAGTTCACAAAGTGAGGCACACCGACTCAATGCTGCTCGTGAACTGAAGTGCACCAAAGCCAAGATACACAATATAGACTCAAAAACTACTGAACTGTTTCCTATAAAAGTCATATCAATAGATTTCTTGAGACTTTGAGGGCGTATATAGCTGATTTTTTTAACTCCTATAGATAGTTAAAGGGTAGCTCAAACATGATGGTTTTTCGGCTTAAGAAGAGAGAACATTTTTTGGTTTATCTAAATGGTTAAGAAATATGGCGTATACATTTTTTCCAAATGTTTTTATTAAAAATACAAATCTTTGGCTGGGTCAGCGTCGGGCGAGACAGCTAGTATGTATACATATTTATATAGATATATTATTAAAAAAAAAAAATGATTCAACCTAAGGTTATATATTACAATACACTCTGAATAAAAAATTTTAAAATCTAATGGCCCAAACAGTTTCAGATCAATAATAAAAAAATAAAAAATAAGCAGATAATAATATACAGTCGAGTCAGAGTTATGGAGAGTCGAGACTCGACAGCATTAACTAGTCAATACATTTACCTAATCATTACCGACCAAAATGAAATATTTTAAATATGACGATGACAAATTAAAGTCAAATGGCTATTGGCTGTTATAATATACAAAGCTCCATAATATTGATTTGATCCAATATAATTGATTGCCATTCTCAATCCTAACTCCAAAGCATAATAATTCAATAAAAATTTCATAAAATGTAGGGTTTAAATTTTAATTATTTAATTATCGTTCACAATAATACTTAAATAGTTATATGTATAATTAGGCATTATTAAAAAATACTATATGTTCTTAAATAAGTAAGTCTTTGTTTTATTCTAAATTCTGAATTATAATTCAGTTTAAAAATTCAAAACACTTGTGCTCCTGAACTACACTAAGCATCATAAGCTCACTTCTTGAAATATAGTAGGGGACAAACGTCTTTATGTGTTTATAAAAAAATGTAGCACGCATAAAATAATATTTGGAATGATAAATTATATAGATACCTAGTTTGTTCTTATAACAAACGAGAGTAATAAAAAACGTCTCTGCACTAAGAATTGCTTTTCATAAAATATGTGCCGTCATTGTTTACAAATTTTACTAAGACTACAACAACAATTACGACGATAAACTCCAAGTCGTATAGTAGGTACAGAGCACAGACAATATGCGATATTTGAATGTTTATGTGCATCTTTTACAACTATATCACTCGAATCAAGGTCTCTGAACTTTACTGCAATGTAATAATTACAGAGAATATTATATTATTATAGTTTCTCATCCAACTCCTTTCAAGACTTTGCTATTTAGGAATAACGCACGATTGCTCAAAACGATAGACGTTTTATACTCAAAGGCTAATTAAATGTCCCTAGCAATAATGTGGTAGATTGTATATATCGTTTAAAACAGTTGGAACTTTTATCAAGCCAACCGTGTATTTAAAACGTAAGAACAATATTATTAAAGAAAATGTCATGTGATTTATATTATTACTGAACAGT